TTTTAGCATCAGTGGCTAGTTAAATGAAAAAGTGATACGAATACAACATGTGCAGGGCTAACTGAACAATGATGGGAGTCCTGCACTTATTCCTGCCTTCTGCACCCCGGACTGTGCAGCTGGCATGCAAGGAATGACTTTGGCTGCCCAGTGGGAACCTCTCCAGTCACTGTTTACACACTGTTAGCATTGCTGTATACATATATATGCAGTTAAACTGGATGGAACACCTTCAGTGGACCTAATGCCTCTTGGATTTTCTCTGCACCTCTGCTATAACTGCTTCCCCAGATACCCAGAAGAGTAGCTGACGACTGCCAGAAAGGCTGGGTCAGCTCTCTCTAGTTGGCATTTTGTTGTATTACAGTTTCATCCGCAAAATACTTTGTTGAGGATTACCAAATACAGTCAGGAGTGTTTTATTAAGTCTATGGATCTGCAAGGGTGTCTCAAGTCCTACTGAGAGGTTATTGAAGAAAGGAGGTGCTGTCCTTTTTGCAACCACAAGAAATCAAAGCCTTTCATTTTAACCAGAGTACATGGGATTTTTATTTCATTTAAATAGATCATAGAATGGTTAGAGTTGGAAGGAACCTTAAAGATCATTGAGTTCTAATCCCCCTGCCATGGGCAGGGACACCTCCCACTAGAGCAGGTTGCCAAAGCCCCATCCAGCCTGGCCTTGAACACTTCCAGGGATGGGGCATCCACAACTTTTCTGGGCAACCTGTTCCGGTGTCTTACCAGATCGTTATTTTTATGTCTTGGTCTTTGAGAAAAATAAATTATCAAGACATTAAGGCTTCATTACATTACCAAATGTGCATGGGACACACCAACCCTGTGAAATCAGGGTGTTTTAGAACAGGTGTTACTTCCTTGGATCCTACTCCTGCATTGGTCCATGCCTGAGAAGTTTAGTTTAGGTACTGAATGATCAGCAGATTTCTGCATCTTTCTCACTTTCTTTATTAACGTATCCAGCAAATAGAGAAGCAGGGCATCTTTCGCAGAGGTCCTTCAGTGCAGAGACCTCAATATCTTCTGCCTGATCTGCAATGCTAGCCCCAGTGATATTACTCAGGATAATGCCTGAAGCCTAGAAGAACAGTCATACTGTGTCCAGGGAAGTTTTGGTGGTGTGGATGTATCTCCTAATACAGTCTGAGGAAATACTATTGTGCTGGAAACAGCTGTTCTTCATACTTCTATGATTTAGATTACATGAGGAGAGATTATTGTTCTTATCTCTTTGAACACATCTTGAGGTATTCTGTATACCTCAGATAGATGATCTACCTGGCTCTAGTTGTGTGCTTGTAATCCGCACTCCAGGAATTTTTACTCTTCATGAGCCAAAAAGGGAGAGCAATCCTTTGCTATGTGTGCAGTACACAGATGCACATTTGTTCAGAACATAGCTTGTTTTTCTTTTGTACTAGTTTATGTCCAGCATTTAACTAACAAGTCATTCCAGTATTTTAGTATTCTGTATTGAGTCTATGGTGGTAGGAATGGAGGAGAATATACTATACTTCCATATATGCACATCTTTCTTACATTTGCATTTGTATTTCAGGATTCAAACAAATCTTGGAAATGTCTCTTTTTAAGGAGTTGTTTAAACCTTTAAGGAGGAAACAGAGAAAATATTTTTAGTAACTATTATTGTAATTTTTAGAATTATTGTGAGAATGCAATAGGTCATAGGAAGTTTTCTTTCTGTTGGGTTAAAATAAGTAGTACGCATGCTCTTAGAGATGATGAATATTATGTCATCAACAATGGTACAGTGGGATTCTCATTCAATTTAAATGAGCTCTTTTAAAGACAGTCTTAAATTCGCCTGTAAGGGCTTCTATAGAAATGCTTCTGTCTTTATAATAAAATATCACTAATGCCTAACACTGAATTATAATTTCTGTTCTCGGATGAGCAAGACATTTTGCTCAGTCGACTGGATGATTTTTTTTAAAAAATTATCTGGGTTTTTATAAATCTTTGAGGTCACTGCCTGCAAGAACATTTCCAATCTGAACAAACTTGAGTGAACAGGAAAAGGTCACATCAATATGAAACTGGTTAAATTCCAGCTGTTGACAATCCATCATGTTTGACCCATGCTGCATGATTACAGCAGGATATGGTGTTGGGACATTTACAGGAATACATCCTTTTTCGAGCATGCATTTCCAGAGTGGATGGTTTACATTACTGGAAACAAAATGCTGTTTCAACTTTTAAACTCAATTCTTTATTCATGTAGGAAAACTGTCAGAATTTTGATTAAACCACATTTCAGATTTTTTGTGACTTTTTTTTTTTGGTATATAACTATTTTATATAGTTATATATATAGCCATATATTTTATATAGTTATATATCACTATATAATTCTACATATTTTATATAACTATTATATTATTACAACAAAAGAACAGTTATTTTTAATGCTTATTTACATTCTTAACACAGTTTTTGAAAAATGGTTGTTTCTTTAATAAGAGAAAAGCAAGCAAAATAGCAACCAAATAAGCATTTTTTTCAAAAATGAAGAAACTTTTTCCCAAAACAGAATGACTGAAGACAAACACTGCTTTGAGTTTATTATGCCTTTATTTCAGGGCAGGTCTTATTTCTGTTTCAGCGATGGGATCAAGATTTAAATTAGTGAAAGGACAGCTTTGAATATGTGATTAAAATTGGTTTTAACAGTTGTTTTTCTATATCTTTTATCAACAAGGTTACTCTTCTATCTTTAGCTAGGATTTATTTACTAAGACAAGGAATGTTTTCCTTCCATTGTTGCCTCATCAGATCAGCAGAGAGACCATTCATGAACGTGATCAGTATTCAACCATAGTGGCAATTCAGATTTTCAGGTGCTATTCTGCATCCTTGATCCAGGTCAGGACCAAATCATTGGCACCCATATGAAGTCATAACCAAGACAGATGATAGGGTTGGTGAGTAAGTTTTGGTGATATGTTGTCATGAAATAATTAACACTAATTCAATTTTTATCAAGACCTATCTCCTTCCTGAATGAGACTTTACAAACCCAGGCAGTATTTCAGACTGAGATGTGAGGTGAGCTGCACGTGAGTTGAAGATTTTCATAAATGCAACGGCAGGTTGAAGTTGACATACATTTTTATTTTTTTTTACTTCCATTTTGCAGTTTGCGTGGAAGTTTGCCAGGTGTGGTGCTGGGAACCAGTTCTTGCACTGGCAGACTTGGCAGAGGCACGCGTTGCGGGATTCCTGATGTAACACACATATTGGACAGCACTTCCACTTCACACGCATTGAGTAGTCACAGGCTTAAGCAAATTCCATGGCTGCATATCAGATGTGGCATATAGGTGTTTGATGGGTGCCACATGCTGAATCAGCTGTTTTACCGGTTATGTGCTTTCATTTTGGCCACTTTATCCTTTAGATGCTTATGAAAGCAGATGCTTATAGCCTGGGGTGGCACTGATATGTAAGTGAGCACATCTCATATTTCTTCAGCAGCATGGAAGAACTGTGGAAATGGAATTCACTGCTACTATTTTGCTCACGCTTGTGAGAAGGTATGACCTGTTACGAGAGATGAGATGGGTCTGGCTGTGTCAGCACTTTGAGTAGCATCTGAATAAAAGAATATAATAACTGCATGACAAGCTGCAGCAGATGTCATCTGCTTTTTTTGGAGAGTAGGTAGAAGGTCATTGTTGTAATGATTCCATAACGTGACTACAAGCAATGGGGTCCTGGAGAAGGCAGGGAGCATTTCTGTATGCTTCTTTCATTTCCTCTTGTGCTTTCTAAACCATTTGTCTTGATTAAATCTGTAATGATGAACACACAGAGTGTTATCCACATATGTTAACATATGTGCAGGTAAGATGAGACTCCCAAAGAAAGACCTTAAAACATAGCAGAAGCAAGAATTTTAATGGATAGGCAGTTGCCTGCCCAGTGCAAACCTGGTTTGAAAATGGCAATGTCCCTTGAGAGATGCAGCTGGGCAAAGTAAGAACATGCAGCATTTTTATTTTTTTTTAGTAATTTCAGAACTATTATACTTTCGTGGGAGGATACCAGTCTTTATGCTGAATGGCCCTACTGGATGACACGTAGTGTCCATATGGCCATATCCCTATTCTGAAACTTGCCAGTCAAGTAGCAAAATTTACTTAGTCAAAGATTATCAGAAACTTGGTAACAGGAAGTGTTGCCACCATCCCCAAAGTATTCACCTATTTGTGACAATTGGTGTAGAGACTCTCCATCAGTAGTTTAAGGGCATTACTCCACCCGTGCAGTCGCTGTGCATAATTCGGGTTCTGTCATGGTTTTGTCAACAGAATGGCTGCCACTTATTTTGCTTGATACTCCTGTCTAGTGAGCAGTTGTACTGTGTGTACCGTACTGTGTGTTCAGCCTTTTGTGTAGAGGTAATTTTACTCATATTCTGATTTTTATGACTGTGGAATTTCTCAAGAGACTTAGAGTAAGATTGCCTTCCTTGTCAAATCCATTTTTGCTCTAGTGTTTGGGAGCTTTCTGTTTCTGGTCTATTGCTGTGCTACACAATGAGTACTTAAAGAAACCAGATGGGACTCTTGGCCTTGGGAACCTTGAGCTGATGAGGCTCTTTGAGCTGTTTCAGACAATGAGTGAGCTACTAGTCATAAGAATTTCTCCTGTGTTATTTGATACCCACAAAACTCTGGCGTGGCTTGCTTCTGTTACTTGGAAAGTCTGTCAAGGGGCAAAATTATCTAGAAATATTCTTAAAGTGAGAGAGCAGGTGGCTTAGATTACTATCAAAGGCAACCAAAGGAGTCCCAATATAAAGAGTGTGTGCAGTTTCTCTAATATTATTGTGATCTTTTTTGACTACAAGCATAATAACGTTATTGGAATGCAACACAGATGTACCAGGATGCTGCAAATGTCTCTTAGTTCAATGATGCTCCTGATAAGATCTATGTATATTCTGTTACCAGCTCTTCCATGTTGCCTATATCCTTATCAAGTTTGCAAATTCTCCTCGTCCAGATCTCTGGATCTTAGAAAGATCAGTGGACTTTGGAAGAACTTACACCCCCTGGCAATATTTTGCTCGTGAGTATCAATCCTTGTGTCACTGCTGTTCTGTAGACAGGTTTCTTTAATCATTTGCCCAGTAGCTGGAAAATCAGACCATTGGCCTCACTAAAGATTTCAACTGCAGTGAAGGAAGTGAATGTCAAATACATTTCTCTTGTCTTAGTTTTCCACAATGAATCAGTGACAAGAGTGTAACGAAAAATGAGTGTGATGTTTTGAAAGCGTAACTCAGTACATGAGTATTTTTCAGTCTGTTGGGAAGTTTTGTTTTGTTTGTTTTGGTTTTTTGGTATGTCAGAACTACAGTGTCCTTCATCCTATGGGACCCTGAAGTTCCTTGCAAAAACCAAAGAGAAAAACAAATGCAAAATCATGGAGTATAGCTTCTTTGTGGTGATGTGAGAAATATTGTGCCATGTCTGTCAGGCACTGCTGAACTGCTTAGGATGAGACATTTTTAATTTTTTTTTAAATAGGAATTTCCATTTTTCTGCACTAAGTAAAGCAATCATTGTTACTATTCAATTGTGGGGGGGAGAAGAATTTACCTAAAAGCACAGGGGATACTTCTTCAATAATTTAAATTAGAACAACAGTGTTTATTTTCACATATAAAAATAATTTTGTTCTCACTTGACTAGACTCCAAAGCAGATTGCTTGGAGCGGTTTGGAAAGGAAGCTAATCTTCCGCTGAGGAGGGACAGCGATGTCCTTTGCAGCACAGAATACTCTCGCATTTTGCCTCTGGAAAACGGAGAGGTAAGTGCTTTCCGAAAAGTAATGTGTGACACAAGCAAATAGCATCAGTTTCAGAAGTTTGCTGTTTCAATGGAAACCTAGAACTGGAAGTAATTTTTCAGCGACGACTGCTTGAATCTACATTAATAAGTCCATAACCAAGCACTCTAGTAGCTGGTAAGATTTTTGGAGGGTGAGCTGGCTCCTCCTAACTTTCACTGTTCCCTGTGGACGTAGGGGCCGCTCAGAGCCACCTCTGCTGATTTTTATTATTATTTAGGTGCCTCACTTTAGCCACATGCATTTGAAGGTGTTGACTGCATTTTCTGAATAGTTCCAATGCACATAGCACAACTTACTGCATCAGGATTGCTCGTGCGATTAAGGGTTGTAGAAACAGGTATTTACCATTCAAGAGTAAGTTAAAAATCCATAAAATGCTATATGTTTATAATAGAATACATGTATTTGGAAAAGCCTTGCTGTGATTTTAGCCGTTGTTCCTTGCTAGGCAGAACTGTGGCTGGTATTACTTGAATAAATGTTAAAGTCCTGGCTGTGCTCATGGCTCCTGCTGACATTCTCCTTTTACACCTGATGTGGTTAGAATCCAGATCTGAACTCCTCCAGAGTTATCCAGAGTTTTTGAGCATATGGATCTGGGGTGGTAGTTTTACATTAGAGTTTGTTTATTAACATATCTATAAAATTTCCCTAATAAAATATTGTAAAGAGTAATTTCCATAGAGGAGCATTGCTGGTGCCATCCCCTGTTATGTTCTGTATGACTTTTCCTAAAAGAATTGTGCTGCAATCGGAACTGTCACCATTCCCTTGTTAGATACTTTGGAGTATAGGAACTGTTTGAAAATAGAAATCTGTTATCTGGTTGGTTACAAATAAATGAAATTCTCTGACTTGGTTGTATATGCGCACACTGGATTTTTAATTTACCAGAGATTTATGATTGCTAGGCTGCTGGCATCCGTCTCTTTAAAAAATAAAAAAGTACCGGAGCCCTTGTTTTGAAAGTAAGATAAACCTCCTTTCATGTGAGGGGATTTTCTAAAGCAACACTGTGTACTTTCTTCCAAAAGACCATTAATACGCTCCCAGGCACTGGACCTGGTAACAATAATATTTTCCAGGAATGTTTGTGCCTTAACCCAAAAATAAATGTGCTTTGGGAAAGAGCCAAAACATGATGGTTTTTACTCAGGCAAAACTCTCATTGACACTATCAACTGTTAATGTAACTATTTGCAACTATTCATATTACTTTTTTTCTATAAAATCATAAACTTTTTGGGTGTTTTAATGTCTCTTTGCAAAACAGATAGAGGCGCTTTTTTTTTCAAATGTGCCATATAGGTAATGAAAATCCAGGAGGGTCCAAGACTAACAACACCATTTTTCCCTATGTTCTGACTTCAGTATGAAATGTATAGTTATTACTGCAAATGTATTCAGAAACACTAGTAAGTTTTTGGACTCTGTATTAATTTTGCTCTGTGTCGCTACTGACACTTGCAGTTGATATGTTTTAACAAAAATGTGCCTACTTCTCTATTAGATCGTAGTATCTTTGGTAAATGGCCGCCCAGGAGCAAAAAACTTCACTTACTCCCCTGGTCTTCGAGAATTCACAAAAGCAACAAACATTCGCCTTCATTTTCTCAGAACTAATACACTTCTTGGACACTTGATATCGAAAGCTCAACGAGACCCCACTGTAACCCGTAGAGTAAGTACTGTTTTCACTGAGATATACCCAGTAATTATATTCAGCATGTTAAAGACCAAAAAATGATCTGAATATTTTAAGTTTTGCAACATTCTAACAATCTAAATTTATAGTGACCCACCTTTAAATCCTCATATTTTCTCCAGGTTCGTTTGAGACCAGAAGGTAACTGGCTCAGCACAGATTTATGGAGGGGAAGTAATGAGTGATGATTTTGTAACAGACTGTCTTCTTTCCCTGTTTTTTTAATATGGAAGGAAGTTGGGCGCGTCAAGGGAACTATAAGGAGCCAAAGTGGAAATCTTCTAAACTATTTTACACAGAGCTGAGGAACTAAATCTCTTCAGTTTTATTTGACACTACTTTCCCTTATTTATTCAACGAAAGATTTTCAGGAAACAGTACCTGAGTTTCTGAAGGAGCAGGAATCAAAGGATGTACTCAAAAGTTACTATCTTTCTTTTGGCTTGAAAGCCAAAGTCCCGCTCTCATTTGGTGGGGAGACGTAAGGAAATTCAGCTCCCTCAAGGGAACACTGCATAGAAATTCATATACTTCGAGAGATTGCAGGCTTCATATTGTATTGTTATTTTTAACCTTTTCATTTAAAATGAAGATTTGGTAACAATTGGAGGAAGCCCTGGGGTGAGGCACTGCACAAACGTGTGTGAGGGTTTCTGCACTGAAAAACATAAAACTATTCCAGTTACTTGATAGCACTCCCATTAAGTACCTTTATTGTCTTAAGTAAATTTTAAGCTGTTGCTTACAGGCAGATGTAAATGCAGTATTTAGTTTACTTGGCAAGCAGCACAGCTTTAGTGTAAGAAAATTCTGATGTTATCATATGCATGGGATGTAGGATAGATTAATAAAATGTTGGCTGTTTTTTCATTAAATTGTTAAAAGAGAGCACAAGTTTTCATTGTAGAGACCTTCCAAATCTAGAAAAGAGTTGCTATTAAGGAAAATCTTTGTGTTAAACTTACTACAGAAACAGATGAAAACCAGATCCGTTCTGTTCTCCTATCCAAGTAACTTCCTGGCTTCCCCTGTTAATTGTTTGAGTTCATGACACATTGAATTACCGAGAGTATGTTTTATGTCTGAAGTGTGGCATTTTGGCCTATTAATTGTGTTGGCCGGTTACTAATTTGACTTATTACTAACCAGTGACAGTACAATTACTGTTAGTAGTAAAGCATAGCTCTGGAAAGCTGTATGAAACTATAAGACTGGGTTGTGAAGACTCTTATACCAAAAACCACTGTCAAGTATGTTGGTGAGTCACAGTGATCATTTCTAGCTGTGCTGAAAACACTGAAAGTTTTACTTGAAAATTTTTACTAGAAAGTTTTACTTACAGTATGAAAATGGTAGGCACGGTTAGAAATGAATCTGCATATTTGAATAGAGATACTTTTTGCCTTCTGAACTATTTCCTAGCCTGTATATCCCACTTACTGTTCTTCACCTGCCTAGAGCAAAGAGAGCCAGTTGGAAAAGCTCTTTGCCTTGGGGAAGCATCTTCTCCGTGCCCAGCCAACTCCACCTACATAAACGCAGGGTGGGTATGTGCAACCAAAATGAATCACAGAATCATACAATAGTTGGAAGGGATGTCTGGAGGTCATCCAGTCCAACCCCTCCTGCGCCTAGAGCTGGTTGGTCAGGACCATGTACAGTCAGCTTTTGAATATTTCCAAGGATGGAAACTCTGCAACCTCTCTGGGCGACCTGTGCCAGTGCTCAGTCAACCTCACAGTGAAAAAGTGGTTCCTGATGTTTAGAGGGAACCTTCTGTGTTTCAGTTTGTGCCCACTGTCACTGGACACCACTGACAAGGGCCTGGGTCTATCGACTTTGCACCCTCCCTTCAGGTATTTACATACATGGATAAATTCCCTCCTGAGCCTTCTCTTCTCCAGGCTGAACAGTCCCAGCTCTCTCAGCCCTTCCTCACAGGACAGGTGCTCCAGTCCCTCATCATCTTCATGGTTCTTCATCGAACTCTTTCCAGTATGTCCATGTCTCTCTTGGGCTGATCAGAACTGGACCTGGTGCTCCAGCTGTGGCCTCCCCAGTGCTGAGTAGTGAAAAAGTGGTTCCTGATGTTTAGAGGGAACCTTCTGTGTTTCAGTTTGTGCCCACTGTCACTGGACACCACTGACAAGGGCCTGGGTCTATCGACTTTGCACCCTCCCTTCAGGTATTTACATACATGGATAAATTCCCTCCTGAGCCTTCTCTTCTCCAGGCTGAACAGTCCCAGCTCTCTCAGCCCTTCCTCACAGGACAGGTGCTCCAGTCCCTCATCATCTTCATGGTTCTTCATCGAACTCTTTCCAGTATGTCCATGTCTCTCTTGGGCTGATCAGAACTGGACCTGGTGCTCCAGCTGTGGCCTCCCCAGTGCTGAGTAGAGAGGAGGGTTCACCACTGAGACACCACGTAGAGGGGCTGTATTGTGAATAGTGTGAGCACAGGAGACATAACAGCACAATGTTATGACCCTTATTCTCCTCATCCATGGCTTTCAATCTGCCCCTTTAACTTTTTCTGGGGGTACGTAGAGACCAAGATTTACAACCAGCTCTCCATTCTGCCTGGTTGTCTAAGGAGACAAGGAAACAACTTCTGAGCTACAAAAATGTATGCAGAATTTACTGTTGATATGTATACAGTAATGATATTTTCACTTAGTTGAACCAATTATATTTTTATCTTCTGTTGCCTGGGTGCCTGCAAGGCATGAGGATGAGATACAAAGGGTTCCAGCTTCAGATCACAGTTTCAAATCCAGATTGTGTTGGGAGTGATTTTGACTGAGCTGGTGGTTTCAGTCTGTTTCTAGCATTTAGTGATCACGTCTGACTGAACGGGGGAAACTCCACTGCCCGTACCAGCATGTCTGGTTTGGTGAGGTCTCACAAAGTGATGCTTTGACAGTACTTTACACCTCCATCCTCAAGCTGGCTTTGAACAAGCTTTGGGCTTGGGTACTGGTGGCCGTGTAGCTGCTGGGGAACAGAGAGCTACAGCCTTTACACCTCCATCCTCAAGCTGGCTTTGAACAAGCTTTGGGCTTGGGTACTGGTGGCCGTGTAGCTGCTGGGGAACAGAGAGCTACAGCATTATGCATTTGGTGTGAGCTGCACAAGCCTGTTGCTATCAGGCACCCCAGGGGTATTGCGTTTGATTTGCTGGTACTCTTACTGAGATCAGACATCAACAGAGGTTTGACCATTGGCTGCCTGTCACTGGCCTTCTGTAAAGGCATGCCTTTGCAATTCTGATAAGATTTGACAATCTGATGTTGATATTTCTGACATAATGCAAATAAGGAAAGATCTATACGAACTTCTTGTGCTTGTTCCATAGTATTACTACAGTATAAAGGACATCAGTATTGGTGGTCGATGTGTTTGCCATGGCCATGCTGAAGTATGTAATGCAAAGAGCACTGAAAACCAGTACCGGTAAGTAAACAGAGCATGACATTAATTTAATATGAGAAAAACAATATATGAATGTTTTCAAATTACTTTATTATTATTATTATTATTATAGAAGGATATAGTCTTGCAGGGATTTTTGATTATATTAAAAAAACTAGAATCTGCTAATGATTGACAAGAAAACAAGTCAAGAGCTATTATATATGAAATACAATAATAAAAAGTCTCTACTTAGAGTTTGGCAGATGCAATAACTTTTAAGAACCCCCTCATTCTTTTTGGAAAACATGGCTTCATACCACCTCTCAATAGCAGGAATTAGAAAGCCAACTCAAAACCAAAGTTAATGAACTCCCTGGAACTATTGAGCATTGTAACTGAGCTCAGTCAAGACCTGATGGCTTTTGATCATTACTAGGAAAAATAAAAACAGAAACGGAATGAACTATTCCCTTTCCCTGTGAAGTTTATGTTATCCATCTTGATTTCACAAGGAATTAGACCAGGCTCCTTGGCTCACCTGCTACAGGGAAGTGACTGTGAATAATCAGGCTGTCATCTAAAGCATATTTTAAAAGCTTGGTTTAAACCAGCTGTTCTTCCTATTCATAATGGTATTGAAACAAACTTTTATCAGGACAGTGCAATGTTTTCAGTCATGTTTTAATGAAGAGTAAGTGGGCAGATGGGTGGCTATTTCCAGCTGTCTATGCCAAGTACAGAAGCCATGAAATCTAGAAGGTGTGAAATCTATGGGAATAGGATGATTATATTCGAAAACCGCTTTCCTCCTTGGCTATTTTACTACACAGGTAAGAGAGGAATATTGGAAAATGCCTCTCCAGTCTCAAGGTCTCTTTGTTCCTTCTGGGATTTGGTTACTATGCATGATAGTAAGACCTAGCCCATAATGAGAACCTGCACTTTAAGGAGGCTATTCAGCTAAATCAAAATAAATATGAACTACATTTTCTTGATGAATGGTATGCACTATTTTAAAAATAGCAAGATGAAGTTATGATCTTGGATTATTAAAAACACTAGTAAATTTAGTGTAAACAGAACATAATGAAAAAATGATGAAGGCTTGCATATAAAGGTGATAAATATTTTGATTTACTGTAGGTCAACAAGCTTGAGCCTTGGAATGAAGCTAAAATAGGATATATCCTAAATTGTTATATATCATTTAATATTCTGGCATAAAGCTTTATAATCCAGTCTGTTGAGTCCAATTATAAATGTTCTCTATGAGTAATTTATGCTAATAAACTCATAATCACATGATTAAAGTAATCAGTCATGAAGGATTTTAGGAAAGTTTCAAAATGTTCCAGTGTTACTGTTTGACTTCTTGACATGTAAGCTTATGTCCTGTCCTTTTCACACTATCTTTAAGTCTTGGAGTGCAATAAAATTAAGAAAAGAAGTTTCAGTCCAGCTTCAGTAGAATAAGAGGTTTTCATTTCTGTAGGTTTCAATGTGAATGTCAGCATAATACTTGTGGGGAAACCTGTGATCGCTGCTGCCCTGGATATAACCAGAAGCAGTGGCAACCTGCAACAGCTGGGAGCGCAAATCTGTGCGAACGTGAGTAGCCTAAAAGATGCTACATTAAAAGGGACATTGACAAGTGGGTAGAAATTCGCCATAGCACACGTGTACATGGGGCATAACTAGTACACTGTGTGTTTTAACGCCTTTTTTCTTTACTGAGAAAATCCTTTCCATACAGCAATAAGGAACAGATAATGCAGTGAATATTATTTATGTGCTTCTCTCTTACTAAACACTTGAAATAGTAATTTGTGTGAGAATATTACATGAGAGGAGCAGAAACCTTCCTGTAGTAGATTGAGTCAACGTCTCTCCTCGGTCATAGCTGTTTGCTGTCAGATTGTGGATCCCCACTAGCACAGCAGAGGCTATGGGCATCTTGTACAACTTCAAAGTTTGCCTCTCCATACCCAGCCTCTTGGTGTTCAGATGGCAGAGACATTGCTCAAGGCTGCCTCTGCTTATAGACGCTTGAGCTGCTCTCCATTCTCCTGCTGGTGGTTGCCTCTCACTGACCATACGAAAGCGGGCACAAAGGCATTCCTGAAGGGGAGCCATGGCAATTCCACACTTGCGTCCCTTCCCGTGCTCTTAGTTGGGAGTTTAGAGTGCTTTAGCCCCACAGATTGAGTAGTCAAGGTGGAGAAGCCCACTGACCTTTCTCCCACCGGTCCCTGTGTCTCATTCTTTTGTTAAAGAAAACGAAAACATGGACCCCCTTTTGGTGGAGGGGTACGTACTGTCACACAGGGGGGTTTTCCATCCTTCTGGCCAGAAACCAGTGAACGTGGCACAGGTGGTGTTCCCATCTCTATGCACATCCTATTCTGAGCAATGTGTTGGCGCCCCGGAGTTTCCTTTGTGTTTCCTAATTTATTTTCCTCGTTATGCCATTCCTGAGTAGCGTAGCCAGTGGGTACAAACCGTTAACAGGAGAGCCTTTTTTGAAAGCCAAAGAGATGTACCTGTGTAATTAGTTTGAGGAATAAAGAGATGGCTTGTTTAATCAAAATTGCAGTACTGAGTGTTGGCTGGGGCTGGGAAAGATGATTAAAATGTTTGATAGGAGATAGGCATGTTGGGACACAATTTTTGGACAATATTTGAAACCTCATTTAAATTTCCCTCTTTGAAAGGAAAACATTTTCTGCCAGGAAAGAGGTAGACAAAGAGCATAAATAATGTCATGTTTTTTAAAGAATGACTTTATAGAAGATCATCTACAAGATTCTGAGCCAAAACAACTTTGTCTCTAACTGCCTCTGAAAAAATACCCTTTTTAGTATGGATTGCTCCTAGCAGTTTGAGGTGATGTGTTGAGAGTGTTTGCCAGGTGCAGACCTCCTTTCCTGGCAGCCAGTAGTGAAGGAATTAAAGCAACCTTGTTAGGCTTCCTAGAAGCCTGAGGTCTCTGAAGAAAAACTGATTGAAAGAGGTTGGTGAGAGCTCGTAGGGATAAGCCCAGCCTTTTGCTATGAGTTTCCTAGTACTGTATGGGACAGCAAATGGCCCAGAGTGGTAAGAAGATGCTCGGTGAGGTAGAATGAGTTTCTATTCCCCTGTGAAAGAAAATACTGTTAATATCATCAGAGCAAATAATTTACCATTGCTATTAGAAGACATTCTTGTGAGCTGTACCTCACAGACAGGCCCTAGAGGCAAGGAGGTTTTATTTACATTGTAAAGATTTTAAATTTTTTTGCATGTTCTCTTCTTTCCTTTTCTGACAATATCTTGAACCAGCATGTCATTTGTGCAATGTTTTCTTTTCTTGAAGAATTATATGAATAAAAAACCCTTAAAGATCCTCACACAACCTGTCCAGGGAACCTCCTCTTGACCTGTCTGGTTCCTTTGAGCAGACCATAAGGGAACCTGGTGGTAGGCCACCACCTCAGCTATGTTGTTGGTAGTTTCTAGGAAAAGTCTTCCTCGTCCAAAGTTGTTCAGATATATAGATGCAGAGGAGATGAAGAGAATGATCCAGTTTCCTTTCTCTTGTATGTATGAACATTTAGCAAGGCATGGAGAATCGGTTGTTCCTGAGTTGTACTTGGAATAGAGTTTGGAAGGATTACTTCCCATAAGATTACTTCATAGTGAAGAAAGTAGGGCAGGGCCCTTAGCTTGTTTTGAGGTGCTTTCAAGAACCCATTACCTTCTAGAGTGTCTTATCCCCTGGTCCATATGAAGGAAGGACTTCCCGAAACATGAAGTTAATAGCTTTATAAAGTCTAAACTTCAGGAATTTCCTGGGAAGGCTTCCCTGAAGTGCTGGAACATCTGTAAATAAGAGCTATGTTTTCTTCATATCTAGATGATCTTACTATACTTCTGGTGTGCCTTTCCAGTTGTTGATAGATAAATAAGTGTATTTGAGCATACTTCACCATACCTGAGTGTATGTATACATAAAAAAATCTGAGCTTCTTTTTCATCTCTCCTATATTACTGAATTCCATCATGATAAAGAAAGCTGACTTGGAATATTACTTTTTTTTTCAGCCTGCAATTGCCATGGACATGCCACTGATTGCTACTATAATGCTGATGTTGATCAGCGTCAAGAAAGCTTAAACATCCATGGCCATTATGAAGGCGGAGGTGTCTGCATTAACTGCCAGGTAAAACGGTTGTTTTGATCAATTTAAATAAATGACATTTGAATAAGAGCTACTGAAGTGGGACTGTGTCTACACCAATGGTTTGGAGGCTGACCAGCCTGGGTAGCTTCATTTCTTTGGTATGTAAGTATAAAAGACACACATAAATTGTATTTATACTCAGTCCTGTGTGATTCAAGTATAGCCACAGAATGCAACAATTAAATAAACTACAAAAAATTCCCTTTCCTGTTATTACAAACTCTGCCATTTTGCTGCTTAACAGAAGGAAGTAAAATTAATCAAATAAAATTCAGACTCAGGCTAGCTGGTTCCTTACTGCAGCAAAACACAGAAGGCTCTCCCTCATGAGCAGGAGTAAAGGAGGGCGCAGGCCTTCCCAAGAAGGAAGCTTATAGGTATTGAAATAGCGCAAAATCATAGAAGGGACCTCTGGAAGTTACCTAGACTAGTGCTCCACTCTAACCAAGGCTAGGCACAAAGCTAGATCAGAGAAGTGTCCAGTTGAGTTCTGAAAATGTCCGAGGATGGAGATTACCCAGACTCTGGGTGATCTTTTACAGCACTTAATCACTCTCACAGGAAAGATTTTTGTAACCGTTCAGTAGGAATTTCCCCAGTTTCACCTTGTCACAGTTGGCTTTTTTCTTTTGCTGTGCATGTCTGGGAAGTGTTGGTTCTGTCTTCTGTGTAAACCCCTCTTAGGCAGCAGAAAACTGCCATTAGACACCCCTACCCACCATGAACATCTCTTCTCCAAGCCAACCAAAGCCATTCCCTCAGATTCTCCTTACATGCCATGTGATTTAGCACCTTAACTGTCTTAAGGGCTAGGGTGGATTGAATCAACAAATGTAAACTTGGAGGTCAGAGACTTTACACTCTATCTGTCATTAATGAATACTACATTCTTGGAAAGAGAAGGAATGTCTCTCATCCTGGGTAACTTTTGTTCTACTTGGGCTAATTACTATCAGGAAAGATCATACAAGGCTCTGATCAACTTGATCTAATCTTGGATTTATCTCTGCTTTGAGTGGGATTGAACAACCTGACCTCCTGAGGTTCCGTAGCACCTAAATTATTCATTGGTTCACTGATCTCAGGGTTAAATATGGCCATAGTTATTTGGAAATCTGTCTTCCTTTTGCTGTCAAGTCGTCTGAATGATGATAAGCAGATGAACGTAATTCAGAGGGAAAATTATCATCAAGCCTATGTTCCTACAAAACTTATTCATCATGATTTATATATTACCCTGCTGTACATTTTAAAATATAGCTGTATTTAAGCAACCAAAAAAAGGAAATAGCCAGTAAAATGTATAGGGTATATTTTCCATCTTATTGCCCCAATATAATCAGATATTGTCCAAAAGGCAGTTAGAAGAGAGTAGAGTTATTTTTGCTCTAGAGTAGAAGAAATGTTCTTTGTCTTCCAAATGACATTTCTGTGCAGAACTTTGTTCATGGAGTCTGGTAAGATTTATCATGTTGGTCCTTCCTGTCATTTATTTGTTCAAGAAACATAATTTCTCTTATATTACTTTCGGGATGGAAAAGAGCAAAATTAATCTAAATGTATGAGTCCTGATATTAATTGTGGGAGTTATGCTGGATTAAATGAGTTTACCATAAATATAATTATAGCCTTTTTTTTTTTTCATGGATAAAACACATGGATTTTAATTTACTTTTTCTGTTTATGTCAGGGAAAAAGTGTTAGGAATGGATGTCTGAAGTGATAGGATTGAAATGTTGCATACAAAGATAGATTCAGTGTATAATACTGAAAACTGGTATTTTTTTTCCTAGAATAACTTTTTTTGTTGTTAAAATATGCTGTTAAAATAGCTCTTTTTCATCATGCTTTAAAGATAAAATTCAGCTGCTTTATGTGAGAATACAGTGGTTCAAAAATCCCTAGGTAACAGGTGGTTACAGAACAGCAGATGATGAATGCTGTCTTTATTGCAGTCGTATTCCCTTTTTTTCCCCTGTGCTGATCCTTTTTTAGTTGTACATAGAAACAGTGTAAAGGATGTTACTGTTTCTTAATTTTTCCAAGTTCCCGTTTTTCTCTCACATTCTCCTTGTGTTTTGTTCTGCACAGCATAACACAGCTGGTATTAACTGTGAGAAGTGTGCGAAAGGTTACTATCGTCCTTATGGTGTTCCAGTGAGAGCTCCTGATGGATGTATACGTGAGTCCTTTTCTATTAAGTATCTTCTCATGGTAGTGGCTTGGGATTTTTTGCTATAATGAGGGCATGGGATACATCTTTTGGGGAGAAAAAATGAAAGAGTGGCCAAAAGACACTGGAGGACACCTGCAAATGTCTTTCTGTGTTGCTTTAGAGCCTTTTAGACCCTTTCTTTTCAACTTAAGTGTCACCTTAGCCTAAAGCTTCAGTCCATCAGCAGGACAATAGGAGGAAGTAAGGCAGGAAAGGCTGCTGAGGAGATAGGATCATGTAGGCCCGGGGTGCTGCTACATTCCCCACAGTGCGGTGCCATGACCTCTAAGAAGTCACTCTCATCTCCTGCCCTCGTGGCCTTGCTTCTCTTAGCTCTTTGGTGCACGTATGAGATATCCTTTGGCTCTTAGTCGCTTGAAAATTTTATTCTACAACTCAAAATATTATAGCAGCCTTCCAGTACCTAAAGGGGGCCTGCAAGAGAGATGGGGAGGGACTCTTTGTCAGGGAGTGTAGCGATAGGATGAGGGGTAACAGTTTTAAACTGAAAGAGAGTAGATTTAGGTTAGATCTTAGGAAGAAATTATTTGCTGTGTGGGTGGTGAGACACTGGAACAAGTTGCCCAGAGGAGTTGTGGATGCTCCATCCCTGAAGTGTTCAAGGCCAGGCTGGATGGGGCCTTGAGCAACCTGCTCTAGTGGGAGGTGTCCCTGCCCATGGCAGGGGGATTAGAACTCAATGATCTTTAAGGTCCCTTCCAACCCAAACCATTCTATGATTCTGTGAAAAAGTCACAAGGATCACTACTCCTACTTTATGCAGTGCTGGATTTAGCATCTAATAAATAATGCAATAGGATAATTGCTACTAGAACATTTAAGAAAGAAGGAATGGGTATAGGTAAGAGATAAGCGTTGAATTACAAACAGGCCGAAGGAGCCTTGTGACAGGCAGGAGGAAGCTATGGTTTGTTGTGTTTGGGTATTGAAATGAATGGAAAGTTGACAGAGCTGTGGTGTGCTGCCAGAGCATTGCACGGGGTGTGCAAGGGAAGGTGGAGGTAGCATAGATCATGGAGAGAGATGAGCTGAAGCCACAGAAAATATAGTTCCTGCAGTGCTATGGAGTAATAACATGCAGCTTTCTGAATTTAAAAAAAAACAATTAAACACTCTGAGAAAATAATATAGGTCTTACTTCTAAGGGATATCACAAATATTAATTGGTGATACAGAGTACTTGGAAAATATGTTACAGTATGCAAATGTTAATTCTTTAAATAATGAGACATTCACAACTTCAAATGGAACACTGTTGTAATGCCATTGTGCACTGCTGGAAAAGGCAAATTAATTATTTTCCAAAAAGCTCCTAATTGCTGATACTGATTTAGTTTGCAGTTGTAACTCGGAGCACGCAGAGGGCTGTGAGGAAGGGTCTGGCCGCTGCATCTGTAAGCTGAATTTCCAGGGAGAAAACTGTGAACGCTGTGCTGATGGATTCCATGATTATCCATTTTGTGTCCGTAAGTATACAAATAAAAATGCCTCTTTTCCAGTATTTTAAATGTGCATTAAATAATTAGCCATTTTCATGACACTTGACTTGGTTAAAACATCTGGCATTTCAGCTTCACGTGTTTATACATTCTGATAAATCAGTTGTGATAACACTGAAGAGAGTCTGGTTTATTTTACGAAATGATGGTTACTTGAAAATCAAACCGATTGTGCTGCATTCTCACAATTCTGAGTTCATTTAAGACATCTTCATCAAGGCTTGCTTCCCTGATAAACAAAGCTTATGGGCTATCAGTGGATTCTAAAATAGTTTAAAATAATTTTAAAATAGTACCTGGGTAATGCTGGAAAGGTCCTCCTGGCAGAGCATAAGGCTCTCCACCATGCTGGACTGCAGGTAGGTGCAGGTCCATGGTCAAAGGAAGGGTTCCAGTTTGTTTCAGGTTTTTTAAGAAGTGGTTGAAGGAAAAGTGTTTGTAAATTCAGAGAAAATAAACATATTAGAAAAAACAGCATAGCACAAATGTCGACTGCCTCTGCTTGTTGAAAATAGTAACAGAATGCTATCTAATGCTATTGAATTGAAAATTAGATTTTTACATCAAAAGCAAAGAGATTAAAATTAAGTGTTGAGAATTCAGCAAATTAAATGCTTTCACCATAAACAAGTTATATATAACTGAGAAAAAAGGATTGTGTTTGATGCATAAAAGCTTGTGATTCCGTGATCAGATTCTGAAAATGCATCAGTGGGAGAGTTTTGTGCCCTCAGAGAAGTGTGTTTCTAACAGCCAATAAAACAGGTGTTGTTCTGGGGCAAGATTTAAGGCCTCACAAAAAGAGAGGTACCATGATAAAAATGGAAGAGGAGGGAAATCAATACAAAACAAAGGAACAGTGTAAAAACATTGAATGCTGTGTGAATTCAATGGCTGCAATAGAATAAATCCTCTCCGTACAGCACAGTGTAGATTATCACATCTCATTTATCCTCTTGTTTGTAATCCAGCATTTTTAAGTAAGTTCAGCTCAGACAGACCTCGATCTAAGCCCCAGTGATGTTTTTAGCACATCAACTTTGGATCCCATCTTACTGGAGGAAAGTTTGTTGGGATGTCTTTCCCATTCCTAATCTGGAGGATTCTCAAATAAAAAGCTCCCAAGATGTAATGTACATGTCATGAATTCTGGCAGTTCAGGTAGCGAGTGGCAATGGCATGCAGCCTGAGATAGACCTTCAGCTGGAAGCAGGGAGTGTGAAGTAACTCACTAAGGAGCTTTCGTGGCACCCTCTAGCACAAGAAAGCTTTGTGTATAAAAAGGTGGGGAGCAGGGAAGCAACATGGTACCATTTCCAAATGACATCTGGCCTTTCATACTTGTTCTTTCCAGAAGGCATGTCTATACCCAAACTGGGGAACAAAAGTAAAATGATTCTTATCCTGTTTCTAACTGAGAAGAAACTAGGGTGAAGTTGGTTACTAGAGCCATGTGAATATCATGCTCTGTGGGTTGACAGGAGATGGCTTCATGGTTTGTCGTGATTCTTAGTGAAGTAACTCTTGTCTGTTTCGAATACACTTCATTGTTTCTTTTGTTTTAAAGGTATTCCTGCATATCCTTTTACTTCTCCCAATCCAAGAGATGAAATGGCTGGTGACATAATTGGCAAGTTCTTGGTGTTTTTTTTCCCCTCCCATTTCACTGTTTTTCCCTGTGTTGCTGTTATTCACTCTTTCAGTGGTGCCTGCTCTTTCATGGAGATTTATGTAGTAATTTTGCCACTGTGGGTATTTATCTTTTAGAGCGCCTTTGTTCTTGCCAGAAGTTCATCATATTGTCATGTTCGTATTGAACAGTTTAGTAGTCTAGTTTCAGGAAGAGTTATGGATCAAAATAAGTTTGACCAGCCTCCGGCAAACATCTGCAGAAGAGGCTGACCATCTTGTTTGGTGCTCTTATGAACAGATCCATCAAGAGTTTCTGACATGTACAACTTGTCAGCTGCTTTGCACCATAAATCTCTTAAGGCTAACTGGCCCCAGCTTCTGGACTGTCCTCTTGCACCTGGCAAATTGTATATTGCCCTTGGCAGTGAAGGACTTTGATTTCTAAGAAAGCTACATATTTCTTATTTAGCCCGCTGCAAAGCTGCCTGAAATCCACACAATGATTCCCTCAGTGGGCTTAGGTTTTTTAGTATATATTACCATACCGCAGAACAGAGACATCTTTGCATGCTTAATCACATACATATTTGTAATGCACTTCAAGATTAATAACTTTAAAAATCCTCCAAACCTTTTTCATATCCTGAAATCAACATTCTTTCCCTTTACTTCTAGTAGCTTTAATAGCACTGGAGTTTATGTTGGCAAATGAAAAAGTGTTTTTTCTTCTGTGAACGTAGCAGACACTTAAATATAAGCAGACAGTACAGATCCATATATGTATTTACAAGTCCCAGTTGTTTTCTTGGAAGTGTCTGCAGTTGCCATCACAGCCCACAAAGCCTCAGCCTCCTGTACCACTTATCTCCTTTGTACAGCATCCAAAATAATTGCCCTGGTAGGCGTCTGGGTATGCTGTGTTGCCTATCCTCTTCTCTCGCATATTTTGAAAAGGAAGAAGAAAGAAAACTCCAAAGATAAAATGAGAAATTTTAAAGAGGAGAAAACAGATCGCAAGCTGTTTACATTTGCAATGAGTAGCATCTGAGTCTGAAGGCATAAGAAAGGCAAACTGCCTCTAAGTGGAAGCTTCTGTGTCTGTAGAAGTTTTAAATTTGTGCTGGCAGACTAACCAATGATTGAATATTTTTTTTCAAATGAGATTTGTGTGTAAGCGCCACGCAAATAGGTGGTTTTTTTCTGTTCAAAAGTACTAAATACTAAGCACTGGATCTGTTTTTCTCTGCAAAAGTACGGGGAGTTGCGTGATTTTATGCACTGACTTTGTTCCTTTCTTTCTTTCTTTTCCTTTTCTCTTGTAAGTAGAAGGTGGCTGCAAACCAGGATATTTTGGCCCCCGGTGTCTGCGTAAGTGCCATGGTTGCTTTGACGCCTGGAGCCTGTGCTCTGGTGTAAATGCCAGTGTTTGGCTTCCAAGTGAAATAGGAATGCTAAGATTGTAACACCACAAATGTTTTCTTTACAAATGTGCCCTTCAGCGTGCCGGTGCCACGGCGCGGGAGTGCTGGGCGGTGACTGCGATGGAGACACCGGACGGTGCAGATGCCGAGTGGGATTTGAGGGGTTTTCCTGTGACACCTGTGCAGCTGGGTATTTTCATTACCCCTTCTGCCAGGGTAAGCCAAACGTTCCCCTTCGGCAAGCGTATCCAAAATATAGACCCAGGTTTTACTCTGAAGGATGAAGTTCTTTTGCCACAGAGATGTGGTTGTTCCCAAAACGACGTCAAGTCAAAGAAATAAAAAAATGGGACAAGGGGAGATGTCTGTCTAAAATGCCCCTATTTCCTTGATTGCTGTCTACTGTGTGATGCAGCTGTTAGGCTCCGGTTTGCGCTTGGATTTAGTAACATTGATTAAATTTAGATTACCTTTGGGAACATCTCTGTTACTCATCCTTGTTTTGTTTTGGTTTGCTTTTTAAAAATTATTTTTAATTTGAGTTTGCAACCTTGCTGTGGTGCACCAAGCTGCCCTTTCTAATCAATACTAGAAAACTGGCTGTTTTTAAACTTTATTAACCATCTCTGCACTGTCTCTTTAAGCATTTTATTAACACCTCCTACCTGGCATTGCAAATCAAAACCATACATTGTTTTGTTTTAATTTTAAAAAAGGATAGAACTACTTCCAACAGTTGGCATCGATAAATGATGCCATCTGAGTGGGGACAGGCGAAGTGTAGTGCTGCAACCCTGATATGAACCCAGCAGCTATTTTGAGCCAGACTCTTTTTTACTCTTTCATTAATATCTCCCTTGATGCTAAGTTATTACTGATGTGGGCAATCAATAAAAGCTGTTACGAATCGAAGTAAATCTAATGGGAAGCTTTTGGTCCTGTTGAGCACCAGGGATTTGGTTTTTTGGTTTTTTTTTTTGGTTGGTTTTGTTTGTTTGTTTGTTTGTTTTGGGGTTTTTTGGGCGGGTGGGTTTTTTTTGTCTGTTTTGGTTTTGGGTTTTTTTTTTTTCCCTTTTCTCCTCTTTCTGTCTTTTCCAACTGTGAGGGTATAAAAATGACTACTATAAAGTTCACATGTGGATGGACATTTCCAGCAAAGTAATAGTGTCGTACAATCTGTGGTAGAAATTGTTCAAATTTTAAACACATTTTCTGCATTTCTAAAGCTAGAAATGACTTCATTTTTCATCCTGTTTGTAGCTCTTGTTCCATAATTCAGAAGGGAGGATCAATCAATGTAGTTCTTTTTTTTTTTTGGGGGGGGGGGGTTGGTTGGTTGGTTGTTTTAATTGGAAGAAAGATAAAAGGAGAGTGCCTGTGCAGAGGCTGCCTCTGAAATGTCTTTTGTTGTTTGCAGTGTGTGAATGTAATTTGGTGGGTACCCAGTCCGAAGTCTGCGATTTTCTTGGGAGGTGTCTTTGTCGCTCCGGAGTAGCTGGACCTCAATGTGACAGCTGCCAGCCTGGCCACCACTCTTTCCCTGCCTGCCAAGGTAAGGCTGCTCATCGCATGTACCTCCCCAAACAGGCAGCCTGGAGGGCTTTTTGGGTAGTGTTTTTGCCGTGGCTGAAGCAATATTCACAGCAGTCATTGGGCAAGGGACTCTTGTTCTCTACAGTGAAATCCTCGTGTGTTCTTATTCTCCAAGCGCTCATTCCAGGCATGTTTTCATAGTAAGGAAGAACTATATAGTCTATTTTCTCACAGACTTTTTTTTTTTTGCGTGGTCAAATGGTTTGATACAGCCTGTTAGCACAGCTGTCTTACTAATAACCAAAGGATTTGAAAGCTGTTTTCGCATGGAGACCTGCAGCAACAGAATATGCTTGGCTGCTAAGGAACTGCTGTAGTGGAACTATGAAGCACTAATCTACTTTAGCAGAGGGTCTTTGTTTGGTCCTTTTAAAAATGTATGTTCTGTAAATCTCAAAATGGGAAGCTCCCATTTTGCCCTTCACAGTGATTTCTCATTCATTTTAAGGTCATACAACAGGCACAGAGACAACCTCTGTTCATGTAATCATGAAATATGAATGATCTCCATGGGGTTTCACCAGTGTACCTGCCACCAAGGACTAGCTTGCATTTTTCAGGAGAGGAAAATTGATCAGCACTAATGAAGTATAACCTTGAACATGGTTTTGTGTGTGTGTGAGGAATCCATCAAGTCCTATCTGCTCCCTAGGTTTCGTCTGCCTTTGCAATGACTGAGAGAGAGGCCCTTAAACCTTAGTGAATTTTACAGTGAGAAAATACAGGAAACTGCTGAATTCTGGTGTGTACCTTCCTGTACAACTTAGCAAGATTTATGTCATTATTTTTTGTTGTTTGCTGTATCAGTCCCATTCCTTTTGGGCTTACATACTTGTTTATGTCCTATAAATACACAGCAGAATCCTTTATGCCGTTGCAAAGATATGTTACGTTGTGTTACCAAACACAATGGGTGGAATAAAGAAGTACCACATGACTGTGTTTTATGGTCTGGAGTAGATTAACATTTTTAATGAAAAACATAAAATCAGGATTCTGCATTGGTACATGCTGTTCAGTGGTTTTAAAATACTCTAACAATTTTATTTTTCTTAGAACTGAATCAGGCAGCAATCTTAAGCAAATCAAACCTGCATTGAATATGTTTGAACTTTTAACACCAAAAGCTGAAAGCAGACATAAAAGCTTAGAAGAACATGCAAAAACAAATTGTAAAAGAGAGATAAAAATAACTGAAAACCCAATCAGTGGAATTACTCAAAACTGCTGCAGTTCACAGCTTGTTCTGGTAAAATAAGCTGCCATGGGTTTAAACTTGAACTAATGCAGCATGCTGCAAACTGTGGTGGAAGTGAGCAGCCCAGACTGCTACTCCTGTTTGGAACTGTCATCTTCAGAAAGGAGGTAGATCTATAACTTTTTTTGGCTGCTGCAGCTAGAACTGATGTCTCTGGTCTTGCCTTGTTGAACTCAATAGAAGCTTTATTCAATAGGAGTGATATCAAAATAAAGCCTTTAAACAAATCAGTGTTATTAAAATGAGGAGAGAATGCAATATAATGTTCAGCTGGGGGTGGACTCTTGTGTAGGTGATGTTTTTGGAAGCTTCAGTATTTGTATTTCTCTTATACTAACTTCTTAGCAAGTGCTGCATCTTTCCAGGCGTCTTTGCAGTAACCAAAGCAAAGTCAGATGTCCTTGGCTGCAGCAGAAAGAGGAACTGAAAGGGGGAACCAGGAACATGAACATGGAACAGAAATACAGTGTTTGTTTTATATTTCTGTCATCCATCCATTTCTATCAGTTATAAAATCCCAGTGATGAACTGCAGTGCTTTGGCTTGTACCTGGGGCAGCTGGGATTCCCAGATGGACTCCCACTCCTGTGCCTATAGAGTGTGACCCCGTGTAACGTCCAGCGTTGTTTCAATAAAATAGCATGTCTTATCTGTGAAAGAGCTGCTAGCTTAAAATAGCAGCAACTCCAAAAGAAGTTTGTTGTTATAGCCTGACAATAGTTTTTGTTATAGTCTGGCAGCGTGCCTTGTGTATTACATGCAGATTTCTGCAATGCGCAGCTTACCAGCTTGTAGAATTAAGATGTCAGCAGTTTTTACCTTGTGCATCATTTATTTGTGCATCATGAACTTCTGCTTGTGCGTCATTACCCATAACCTTCTTGTTAGTCATTAGACCTAGCCTAGCTTTGTGGATGCAGTTTCTCAGAGGTCATTTTTTAAAGACGTTAAGTTCTTCTCTCATGTGATGTTCTTTCCGTTGTAAGATGGATTTCTGTCCCTTGTGCCTGTGTTTTGCAAGGCATAACTGCACATTATAGAATTGCAGTAAAAACCTGATTAATCAATGGTTGAGGAGACAATTACAATATATGATCTATTTCAGGACTTTTGTTGGTGGTGGTAAAATTATGGTTTGTCTGGTTTCCTCATTATTGCTTTACATTCAAAGGTAACTTTTTTTGGCAAATTCTCGTTTAAATAACGGCTGGTTTAGACATGTATTTCAGGATAGGTTTTTTTGTGTGGTTTTTTTTTCCTCTGTGCAGAATGTAACTGTGATGCTGTTGGCTCAGTGGAGAGTACATGTGGTCCTCGAGGTCAGTGTCTGTGCCATAGCAACTACGCTGGACTTAGATGTGACCAGTGCGCTCTGGGTTATTACAGCTATCCCAGCTGTTTGCGTGAGTAAAAGCCTCTCTTCCTTTTACTGGAGTTACCTGTGTAACTATGATAGTTTTGTTCCATCCAAAAAACCACTGAAGATCCAGCCAGTGGCCAGGCTTCCTGCCAGACATGCACTCTGGTAGTCCCTGGCGCATCATTGCTGTTCCTGTGCTAATGGGATTAATGCAAGCCTAGCAGTGTTTGACCTTGGCACAGTTGTATTTCTCTTTTAAAAGTTGAAATCCAAAGCTTAGGCTGGGCAATGGGCAGGCACCTGTATGAGTTCTGGCTCACTCAACTTCCAGAACATAAACTGTGCTTCAACTAGTTTGGGCCTCTCATATTTGACACACTCTCCTGTAAACTTTTAAGTAAGTGCATTAGTGTGTGCTATTGGCCTGTGCCAACATGGCACCCTGAATCCTAGTCTAGAAGGGCTTGACTTGGCAAATCTTCCATCATATCAACAATTTTTCCTGCCCATGTGGATCAGTTGATCAGGTCCAGAATGCATGTATAGGTTTTTCACATCAAGCAGAGGAAAACCTGCAGGCTCTGTCGTTAAAATCAGCAAACTACTTGATCATCATGAACAGGACTGCTCTCTCCTAGAAATCAAAAGATTATTAGTGCTAAGGATAGCATATATCCTCAGAATTATGCAATTACTAATCACGACAACCACAGCAGGTTTGTTCTTTCTCTTTAGGAGACTGGCTACTACTTTACTAAAATAGTTGTCATTAATCATTTCACCCTTGGACACTGAGCAAAGATTAGTCCCCTGGGCTGTAACAGCATTGCTCTTTTTTGTGGCATTATTCTTATTTACCCTGTGTGTGTAAATCATTGTGCAACTGAGACCTTACGTGGGAATCTGAAACAGTAAGGCTGTTGCATGGTGTATTTCAAAACTTGTTTCTGGCGTCCTCTGCCCTCAGATCTAAAGGTGTAATGGGTATGCAATTATATAGTCTATATTTCACTATCATAATTTTAAGTGCAGGTCTAATTACAGAATTTGCCCTGTACTTTCTGTACTGTAAGAAGATCAAGAAAGCCAAAATCAAGACTGCTTTTCAGATGGGACAAAAAACAGTTGAGGAAGAGGGATTTATTACAGTTCCAGATAATCCTACCCGTTTCTGTCAAGAACAGAGGAAGAAAATAATGTCAATGGTACAGTCACATCAAACTCATAGGTTCCGAGCAGAGGTGAGGACCCCGTGAGTTATAGGAGGACCTTGTGAGCTGTTTGCTGGAAAGGAAAATGACGACCGCTGTAGACAAAGAGTATTCAAAACCTCTACGGTATTAAAGTTTTGGAAGGTTGTTGTTTGGTACCTACAGGGTGAACCCTCCCAAACCCTGTCTGTGTTTGTTGTTCCGTAGCTTGTCAGTGCTCTCCCAATGGTTCCCAGCATGGCGTGTGTGAGCCCGTGTCGGGGCAGTGCCAGTGTCAAGCGGGCGTCACGGGGCGACGCTGTGACAGATGCCTTTCTGCTGCCGACATTTTCCCCTACTGCAAAGGTAATGCTTCTGAGGGAACACCCTCCATTCTGGTCCAGGTTGCCTCTGTTTTTATTGCAGAGTTCTCTAGGGCAGTCTGCTGCATGCAAAGTTTTATAGAAAGCATAGGGAGGGAGGGATGCACCAGGAGCACATATTATATGAGCTTATTTGTCATTCTATGTGTTATTTCAGGAAGTGAAGTATAAGATTAAAACCTTTTTTAGATGATAGCACAGGAACTTTAAGAAAACATCTCTCAGTTCTGTGAGTTGAGCAACCTGGTCTAGTGGGAGGTGTCCCTGCCCATGGCAGGGGGGTTGAAACTTGATGATCCTTAAGGTCCCTTCCAACTCTAACCATTCTATGATTCTGTGATTCTAAGTTAGTGCTATATTTTTTCCAAGTGACTTATTTTGTGTACCAAAGCAAATAGTCTTATCCAGTCTAATCCTTATGATTGAAAAATCATTATTAAAGGCATCTGCTGCTCTTAAAGTTTAAAGTATTTGAACCCCTCCAAGGTGACCATATTAAAAAGCTCTTTAAATCTCACACCTGCTACATTGTGCACTACTACATTCCACAGCTCTGTTTTCAAAAGATCTTTCAATGTGTTTGTTTTTTTATTTCATAAAGGTGTCAACAGTGAATGTGACCCTTCAGGTAGTGTTGATTCTCATTCTGTAAGTATTCTACCGTTGCAGCTAACAATACATGTTAATAATTCCTTAAGGCTTAATAAAAGCCTTTGCTGAATGCATTCACTTGATTGCTCAAGCCCTGAAGCCTGCTCTTAGACTGTGATAGAATTGCATGAATAAGAGTGGAAATAGCCTTTGTGTTTTGTTCTTTGATCATATCAGTGCAATTACCTGTTAAGTATTTTTTTTTAATCTTATAGATATGGAATATGCATATGGTTTATGTCTTTGTGGTATGCTACAGCACTAATATATGCATGCAGATGTGCATATATGCCTATGCACGTCTGGTTCTGGGTTGCAACTGGCTATTTCAGCATCAAATTGTTCTTGAAAAACTTACTATCTCTTTGCAACTGTTGCTATTCCACTATTACTGTTATTAGTACACTGATGGTTATTATTATTGCCAGAAATCACAGTCATGGCTAAATGTGTAAAGACCTAGAGAATGAGTCTGACAGATGAAAGAAGTATCTATGTAGGCTTGTGTACACAGCTTTGTGTGTCTTCCACCAATAAAGGAGTAAATATGAAAATGAATTATTATTTTTAAGGAAACTTGGGGTTTTTTAACTTTTTGCAAAACAGTTAATACTTTAGAGCAGTTCTAATAAGGCTATAAAAGATTTGGAAAGTACATCCATTGGGACATTTAGAATAAATTAGGCACAGAAGAAATATGTAAGGTGGAATCCTGTGCTGATAATATGAGACAGAAAAATCTGAATCTGAAATCTATGAGACAGAAAAGTCTGACTCAGCCACAGTTTCAACACATTTGTAAAAGTCAGTAAACTGCCTGAGCTTTTAATAATATTATGTTTTTCTTAGATTAAAGCCCAGTATGCTATTTATGAAAAGATGAAAACTTTTAAACTCCTTTCTGTCATTAGGGCTATTGTCAATGTCTTCAGCACGTTGAAGGTCCTACCTGTAGTAAATGCAAACCGTTGTACTGGAACTTGGCCAAAGAAAACCCTGAGGGATGTACAGGTATGGCTTCATGGCATATCTCTTTGGCTTACAGAATGTGTTAGATTCTTCTGAAAGTAATTTTTATTCTCTGTTGCCATCTTTGGTGCTCAGTGACCTTCGCAACTCTTTTTAACAGCATTTTTTTCACACTACTTAACTGTAACACCAAATTACCCATGATACCAGCAGTCACTTTTAGAAATTAGACCAGAATTTCATGTGTGTTTGCTAGTGCTGCACCAGGGTGTGCTCTGAGTTACAATGATTTGTACTTTATATGGCCCTATAGCAGTTTCACTGGAGTCAGACAGGATTTCTGCCCTTAACACTGAAAGCAGAATTTGGCTCAATGTTTTGAGAAAAAGGTGCTTTTTCATTTATTGTCATCTCCTAGCTTGTAGAGGAATGAAAAGCCACCTTATGGCCTCAGGGTGTGACAAATCTGTTATGGTTTATGTCTATTCAATACCAACCTGTTTGCACTTTTCAATGTTTGCTAACAGGAATTGTATGTTTTTAAGGCAGGTAGTAATAATTTTAAAGATAAAAAAAATCAAAGATTTTTTTCTTTCCAACTATTACCTTTCCAACAGGTTCCACCACAACAGCCACCTAAATAGAATGAGTAGCCTTAGAGCCTATACTGATATTACATCTTTGACTCTAAATCTCTATATACTATGCAGTCTAAACATCTCCTCAAAGATTAATTACTGCAACTTTCATGTAATTCATCTTCTCTGCGTTCAGTCATAGAGTCAATACTGGGTTTCACCAAACCTCTGGGTCAATGTGTCTTCTTCCTGCAATATTTGCTTCATTTGTATTTGATATAGAGAGTTGAACTGGTCCCAAAGTAGCACTGCAGAATAGAAGGTGCTGGTCAGGCTGGAAGACACTATTTTGCATCAATTGTCTGAATGTTTCTCTGAATTGAAATTCCAGATTCAAGACTGCTTCTGTTAAACACAAGTTAGAAAGCTTTAAAACACAAGTAAATTGCACGTATGCAGAAGTCCTCATTCTTTCTCCTTTGCTTTTTTTTCTCACCTTGTGTCAGTATCTGTCTGCTGTTCTGGACCTTCCAGAGCAAAATCCACTTGGCTTAGAGTTGCAGATTCAGGGTGGTGGGTTTTTTTCCCGAAAAGTATCTTGGAAAGACAAAATTCAGATTGTTTTTTTTTTTTTCATCTTTGCAGCATGCCAGTGTGATGTGAGTGGAACACTAAGTGGAATCGGAGAATGTCAGCAGGTAAAGTGAAATTAAAAGAAAGACATCAATTAAATTGATTTTTGTAAAGAGGGGTTGTTATAACATTGGTGAGGTAGAAACCTTATTGCTGATTATTACTTTTGCACATAAAGTGGCTGGTTTTATACAGCCAAGAAGCGATTTTTTACAGAAGTTTTATATATCCTAGGGCTGTATAAAAGTTCTGCAAATTTTACATCATTTTGAGTTTATGTATTTTCTAGTCTGTTCACCGGTGATGATAAATGACAGAAATTATGTCCTAGTAATATTTTTTGTTGATTAGAATGTTTTTCCTCTTCAGAATTGGAGGGAATTCAAAGGAGTGAAAGATGAAAATTCTGAAAAAGGTGCTGAAATGTTTTTGATTAAATTGTTTTCTTCACAGGAAAATGGGCATTGTTACTGCAAATCTAATGTTTGTGGAGATTCCTGTGACACTTGTGAAGCTGGCTATTATGCTCTCGAAAACAAGAATTATTTTGGCTGCCGAGGTAAAATGAACAGAGAACATTCTCTAGTAGAACATCTGCACATGGCACAAAAGTCTGTAGAATTCCCTAGATTGTATTTTAAGAATATGGATGTATGTGTTGAAACACTCACGTGCACAAGCATTTTGCACTACTGCTTGTAATCACCTGTAACCCGAGTAAATGTGTGCAAACCAAGGAGCTAATAAAAGGGATCATAGAATCATAGAATGGTTTGGGTTGGAAGGGACCTCAAAGATCATCTAGTTCCAACCCCCCTGCCATGGGGATGTAGTTTCACAAAGGTGTCAAATACTTTAATTATCCTTGATTTCAGTGAGATTACAGGTGCTTAATTTGTCTTAGAAAACAGGACACTTTTACACTGTGATGTGTTTAGGGACTTTCAATCTTTCAATTCAGCTTGAAATTTTTAGCCTTGACATATTTATTCCTTAGTATGATATATTATAGCTCGTTACTATTGGTGTCCTTTAGCTTGTGCCCCAAGTCCGGTCTCCTGTAGTAAGTCATTCAATAATTCAATATTGTTGTCCAGTATTGGTTAAAAATATGCATATGCCATTACATAAACACGTCTCTTCCTGCTGTGTGCAATTTTTGTAAGATAAATTAAATGTCATGGTACCAGACTCTGAAAAATTAACATCTTGCATTTTTTGTAAGTCAGCGGGTTTTTATTGGTTGGTTGTTTCTTTTTTTAAATAATTATTCATCCTGATATTGCTGTAGAAATTCTGACTTTGGATTTGGAACACGTGAATGGCTGTTCTGCAAAACTGTAGTCCAGCATTTAGTAACTTGGCATGGTTTACTACTTTGGATTTTTTTTTTAAAAAATGGCTTTTGTCACATTCCAAGGAGAAATAAAGAAAACAACCACAATCATAGGAAGCCAGAAATAATTGCATCTTATGCATGTGTGTTAACATTCGTTTGAAAGATTCTGGGGGGAGGGGAGTCTTAAGGGCTCTGGAAGGAGGAAGTGAGTCATTAATAGTGTTTAATTAGTGGAAGCGAGGTGTGTTTTCTGATAACTTTTATCACTTTTTTTTTTTTTTTCTGATGGGATATTTGGCTTTCCCTAACAGGTTGCCAGTGTGATGTTGGAGGATCCCTCAGCCCTGTGTGTGCGGAGACCTCGGGTGGCTGCCAGTGCAGGGCGCACGTCGTGGGGATGGCCTGTCAGGAGTGAGTCTGGTATTATTTGTCTCCTGGTAGCTTGTGCTTTGGCATAGTTCTTTTTAAACTGCCCATCAGTCCCTTGCTATCCTTTCACAGGAGATTCTGGACTTGTTGAGAAATAAGCTGGTAAAATATATTAGTTACTGACATTAATTTTGCTGGGCGTTTTTCTTCTGTTATTTTAATAAGGTTTTTTAACTTGTTTCCTTAAATAACAAATACCTGTTTTGTAGTAGTATTGCATATGTATCTATATATCTGTCAAGAGTTATATATGAAAACATACAGCTGTAAAAGCTTCTGGAAAGAGAATTCTCATTACATCCATCTTATCAGCTGTCTTGAATTTATTAGCTGCTATCAGGATTCCTCAGTCATCAGTAGGTCACCTGCCTTCCACTACTTTTTGCTTTTCTTCACTGCTTTATGCTCTTAGATATAGACCATATAGCAAATGATAATTCTTTGGTTTTGTTTTGTTTGTTTGTTTTCTCTTTGAAAGGCCTGAAAAAAACTACTTTTTCCCTGATTTGCACCACATGAAGTTTGAGATTGAAGATGGTACTACTGTCACAGGAAGCGAAATCCGGTTTGGCTATGATCCTCAGGAATTTCCTAGCTTCAGTTGGAGAGGATATGCCCAGATGTCCTCTATACAAGTAAGCTGGTATTTGGCTCAAGGCTTTTGGGTGAAAACATAGGTATATGGTATGTATGTCTCTGTAGTACTGCTGTGTGCGTGCAAGGTCATGGAGAAACCAGAAGAAAGGACAGGATCTCACTAATCTGAAATTTGGCACTGTATTACTGTTTGGGTTAGTGAGTGCTGGTATTATTGTTAAGCTGGTCATTGCTGGTGCAAATGACCAGCTATCTTCAGAGGTGTTCTTTGAGGATATTTTTTTTAGTGCAAATATGTGTTCTTCAGAGGTGTTCTTTGAGGATATTTTTTGAGAGAAACATGCATTTTGCAATAGGTTTAAGGAAAAGAACTAAGACCTTTAAAGTGTGTAGTAACAAGTGCAGAAATTCTTGTGCCAAGGACAGCAGAAACAGTAGAAGATTAAAAAAGAACTAAGAGCTTTGAAGTGTGTAATAACAAGTGCAGAAATTCTTGTCGTGCCAAGGACAGCAGAAACAGTAGAAGATTGGTACTTGGCTAAATAATTTAAATTATAGAATTCAGTGGCAGTCTGTGTCCGTAAGATTTTCAGGTATCATCACAGTGCTGTTATTGAAGCCTTGTTACACTCCAGTAATTGCCAGCTCCAGACCCTCCTTAGTTAGATCCGTGCATGACTGGGATAGTCTCATGTTCTTCATTTCAAGGAACTTTCCTATATTTGACATAGCATTTCTGGATCTTGCAGGATGCTGAAATAATCCTCTTGACATCTATCTACCACAAAAAGGCTAATGTAATAACTTCATCTGAAACAAAACTATTTCAATACAATGAATATGTTTTGAGGTGAAATAAGTCAGCTGTATGTGACCGCAGTGGAGGTGGTGACTGGTGTCGTGTCTTGCTGCCAACATGGGTGTCTCATTATAGATTGAGGAGCTGACAGCTGGGCTCAGATTTTAAAGCACCGGCCAGAGTTGCCCAAGTTTGTGACAGAGCTCAAGGAATAATTTCTCCTTGCTGTCTGCCTTTGCTTGAAGCCCAGGACTGACATCTCTCCTTCTTTCATTCCTCACGTCTTCTTTCGCACTCTCTAATGGGTCTTCTAGATTTTCCATTAAAGCTTAGAAAACATTTTGATACATCTCCTAAAGCATGTTTCTTTCTTTTGCCTTTTATTTTTTGTTCATATCTATTTTTCAAGTGTTCCCTCAGTGCCTGTCTTATCCATGTAGTATCCTTCCGTAGTCATCTGTCTCCATTCAAAACAGAACTTATAAAACCTTCCCTTACTTGTCTGTATTTTCTGTTCTGGTCCACTGCGCTTCTGCAATCACCTAGATTTTAGCTTTCTAGTCTCTGTAGATCTCTCAGCCCTGCCGTCTGTCGCATGTACTTCTGCACTCACCTAGATTTTAGCTTTCTAGTCTCTAGATCTCTCAGCCCTGCCGTCTGTCGCATGTCTGTCTTTGCTTTCTGCCTTGCATTTCTGTTTGTTAAGAAAGTGGAGGTGTCTGGGATGATGACAGAATTGAGGAATATACATTCAAAGCAGCATATGGGAGCTGGCAATCTTGTATTTATTGTAGCTTTTAGTGGTAAGAGAAAATAAGATTTTGTGCTCTGTTCTCAAATGTATGGACCTGGGAGTTGGACTGTGAGGGGAGCTTTAGGATTTAGGATGGAAAGAAGGAAGCCAAACCCTTCAGGTTGCGCCCATCCTAGTTTTTCCTAACCCACCACCAACTTTTCCACATGTCACTGCCGATTCTGTTGGTCTGCAAACTGAATAGTGGGGGTTATGTGAATGCAGCCTCCTGCGGGAGCACTGCCCATCCAGGGCTGACAAGAACTGCGTGGCTTCAGAGGTGTCAGTTCAGCCCCAGGGAAAGAGAGCCATGGCATAACATCTCTAAGAAACAGCAGGATCTGGTGGAGGAGCAGAAGTTTCAGCAATGGTCTGAGATGTCTGTGTGCTGTGGAACGTGTGTGAACTCAGATTAGGATCATAGAATCATAAAATGGTTTGGGTTGGAAGGGACCTTAAAGATCATCCAGTTCCAACCCCCCAGCCATGGGCAGGGACACCTCCCACTAGACCAGGTTGCTCAAAGCCCCATCTAGCCTGGCCTTGAACACTTCCAGGGATGGGGCATCCACAACTTCCCTGGGAAACTGTTCCGGTGCCTCACCACCCTCACACTACAGAATTTCTTCCTAATATTTAATCTAAATCTCCCTTCTTTCAGTTTAAAACCCTTGTCTTCTCACTGTACTTCCTGATCAAGAATCCCTCCCCACCTCCATACTTCCTGATCAAGAATCCCTCCCCACCTCTCCTGTAGGCCCTCTCCAGGTACTGGGAGAGTGCTATAAGGTCTCCCTGGAGCCTTCTAGTACTGGGAGGGTGCTATAAAGTCTCCCTGGAGCCTTCTCTTTTCCAGGCTGAACAATCCCAGCTCTCTCAGCCTGTCCTTGTAGGAGAGGTGCTCCAGCCCTCTGATCATCTTTGTGGCCCTCCGCTGGACTTGCTCCAACAGGTCCATGACCTTCCTGTGTTGAGGACTCCTCAGGGCTGCTCTCAATCCATTCTCCACCCAACCTGTATTTGTGCCTGGGATTGCTGTGACGCAGGTGCAGGACCATGCACTTTGCTTGGTTGAGCTTCATGAGGTTCACACAGGCCCACTTCTCAAGCCTGTCCAGGTCCCTCTGGATGGCATCCCTTCCCTCCATTGTGTCAACTGCGTCACACAGCTTGGTGTCATCGGCAAACTTCCTGAGGGTGGACTCTGTCCCAATGCACTTCACTTGGTTGAGCTTCATGAGGTTCACACAGGCCCACTTCTCAAGCCTGTCCAGGTCCCTCTGGGTGGCATCCCTTCCCTCCAGTGTGTTGGCCGTGTCACACAGCTTGGTGTCATCAGCAAACTTCATGAGGGTGGACTCTATCCCACTGTCCATGTCGACTCTGTCCCACTGTCCGTGTCTCCGACAAAGATTTTGAACAGCGCTGGTCCCAGTATTGACCCCTGAGGAACGCCCCCTGAGGGTCAGTGGTTCTGGCCTGTTCCTCAGGAAGCCAGGGATCTGGACAGCCCTTGATACCATATGTCTCATTTATGGCACAGGAAGGGAGAATAACATAAAGTACTGTCCATGTTTCAAGGTACAACATCAACACACATGTTAATTCAGCCACTCTGTGTCTTTCTGGATAAGCTATTATTCAACAAGAATTTTATTTCACAGGAGGTTTTGTTCTGTATTCTTTTGTAAGCTGCCCGAGCCTTTCTTTTCTGTTATGGAGTTTGTCTTTGCCACCTGAGGATCAATGGTTCTGGCCTGTTCCTCAGGAATCCAGGGATCTGGACAGCCCTTGATACCATATGTCTCATTTATGGCACAGGAAGGGAGAATAACATAGAGTACTGTCCATATTTCAAGGTACAATATCAACACACGTGTTAATTCAGCCACTCTGTGTCTTTCTGGATAAGCTATTATTCAACAAGAATTTTATTTCACAGGAGGTTTTGTTCTGTATTCTTTTGTAAGCTGCCCGAGCCTTTCTTTTCTGTTATGGAGTTTGTCTTTGCCAAATGGTTTTTCTTTCTCTGGGTGCTAGTAACAAATAATATACTTTCCTTTCCTCCTTTTTCCCTTTCTTTTTATTTTTCCCAGCCAGAGGTGGTTGTGCCTGTCACTGTGGCTTCCCCTAAGCTCTTCCACCTAGTCCTCCGCTATGTCAGCCTGGGCTCAAAAAGCTCTAAAGGGAAGATCTCAATTGCTGAGGGAAAACATTTTGGCACTAATTATACTTGTAAGTGAATTAATTTTCTCACTAGGCTTGCCTGTCTTCCTCTGTCATACACCAGCATTGCCATTCCAGTGTATACTTGTCTGCATGTGTGTTATTCTTGTAGGACTTTAGTGTGGTGCTTGCATGGCTTCTCACTGTTCCTCTATTCAGCACTTTACGGCTGGTTTTGTTTATTAACTTCCATTTTTCAGAACGAAGTGAGGATAACTTTGAATGTGGAAAAGTCAAACCTCTCCTTATTTCGCATTATCCTGAGATATATTAACCCTGGAGGTGAAACATTATCTGGCCGCATATCTGCTTGTCAATCTCGGCCTGCAACAGGTAGGTGCAACTCAACGGCACAACACAGCAGAGGAATGTTAGATCAGAGGAGCCTTTTCAGGGTGCACCTAAGTCAAATTTGTAATGTTGCTTAAAGTTCATCACTTTTAACAGTGTTGGTGCTTTTGTGCTTTTCCTAATATATTTTGCTGTGTAATTGATGTGGCTGTGTTTGCATGAAACCCCTGCTTACAGTAGTAATCAACATTTGGTTTTGCAAATGTTTACCAAACTCTTGCTTTCAGTACTTCACTTGGAAGCTCTGAACTGTGTGTTTCATGAAGCTTTTAAAGAAGGGATAACAACACTTATTTTGGTTTAGTTGCCTTTAATATTTCAGTCTAAATATTCATTCCATGAATAACATTTATTTAATAATGAATCCTATCTACCAAGTTAGCTCTGATTACAGACCTCAACAGCAGGTGATGCTTTTTGGGCCCTGATGAGAGATAAGTGCTCCATATCCTTTGAATGGTAGAGCCATACCAAGCCTATATGCAGAATTATCTCTTATTATGCCTAACCTCAGCACATTGATGGGAGCTAATGGAGCTAGCCATAGATCCTTTCAGTAATTCAGAAGAGACAAAACCAAAGACTTGGCAGTGGCAGCAGTTTGTGGTCTGGTCTGGCTTATATCTCCTGAGAGACAGGGAACCAGCTTTTGACTGTGTCCAGGGGCTTCAAAGAGGAAATCTTTAATATTCATGACAATTGATCCTCATGACTTCTCTTTGATAAAGCACGCTGCAGCTACGTTTCTGTTGTGTATCATCTCTCCCCGGAAGTTACCTTCAGTTACTATCTGTAATGAAACATTTCAGATGCCACTGAGAACCTCCGGTATCTAAAATACTTGGCTGAAAGTCACATGAGAAGAGGCCTTGTGTCAGCTGAACGTATTGTGAGTCAGTGCAGAGACAGGCTGTATGGAAAATAACAGAATGGGAAAGTGAAGAAGTGAGCATTTCAGAGTATTGCAAAATTGACTGTTACAGGGGCAGAGCTCTGCTTTTCTGAACCAATTTGCTCATAAGACTAGCAAGACTAATAAGAGTGAAGACAACACTGCATAGCTCTGTAGCTTCCTGTGTGTGGTTGAATGCACTGTTAATGCATACTGACAGAAAAACATTGATCAGCTCCTGTCAGGCCAAGTTTAATGGAAGAAATCATCAGTCCAGCTCACTAAGCAAGTAGAGACATTTTATACTTGATTTTTTTTTTCTTTGCTGGCAGGGGCTGCTCAGAGCAAAGACTTTGTCTTCCCACCTAGCAAGGAGCCAGCTTTTATCACAATCCCAGGAAAAAACTCCACAGAGCCTTTCTCACTGGTTCCAGGCACATGGACTATCAGCATAATGGCAGAGGAAGTCCTCTTGGTAAGAAAACAATTGAGGAAAACAAGTGCTTGAAGGCTGTCATGATTGTATTGCTCTGGAGTTATTTGCAGGGAAGAACCCTGCAACCAACTGAAATTCAGCATTAGTAAAAAGACCACAGCAGCAGAATATTGTTATGAAAATTTACAGTTCTGCCTCTTAATTTTTTTTTCTTCTCTTTCACATGCTCTAATTTTTCTTGTGCTTACAGATTTAAATCTATGCAGAATCTGTACCTTCAAAGGATAAAGTAATATTAGCATATAAAACAATTGGTTGAGCATAAATGCTCATATAAATTCATAATTCTTATGTATCAGATGTCTTATCAGAGTTGGCTCAGCCATAGATGACCATGGCCTGAGTTTCTTGACAAATATTCTTCAGAAAAGTATTATAAGATGGGCTGCATGATTAGCAGCTCATTTTGTAAATGTTTTTATCCTTCCATAATTACTCTTCTTTCACTCACTGAAAAACTGAAAGAATTTCTGACAGCAGCTCTGAGAAATTGCTATAAAAAGATAAATTGAGGCGATCATTTATGAAAACCCTTAAACATGTATGATCACAAAGACAGCATACTGAAATTCTTATGTATAGGGTTAAGAAGTAGCCAGTGTCTTTAAGCCTGGGGCTTTGTTAAATTTATGGAATATCAGATGAACTGTTACTAAAGAGCTTGCAAACACATTTCTTGCTGAAAGTGACAGTATTTATTGTGCTTGGTTTTTTTACTAATACCTTTGAAAAGGGGTTTATTAATGATCTTAGCCCAGCATGTCCTCACAATAACAGTAATACCTTTGAAAAGATCTTAGCCCAGCATGTCCTCACAATAACAGTTTTTATAAGGAAGCTCTAATATGTTAATTTAAGTAGGCAAGGCAGAGCAAAAATATACCAGCTTTTGAAGCACAGCTTAAAAGATTACATGGAATATTTTTATAAAGTCACCTGGGATATGCGAATCTCCCTTGTGGAGTCAGGTGTAGTTGAGTGGTGTGCGTGTGGATTGTGCCCATGGGTGAAACCTGCACCCAGCTGGCTGTGTGGTACCAAGCCCTGGGGAGGTTCTTTATGAGCACCATTTTGTACGACACATGATGGAAGAGTGGCTTCAGAATTTCCCTGCTCACAGGGCAGCTGCCTTCGTCCCATCTCAATGAAGCTTTAAATAGAGTTATGGAGACACATTCGGATGTTATTGGCCCATGTACCAACAAAAAAAAATCCACGTCTTGCAGATACCCTCTATAAAAATTGTTTATGTGGTTGGTTTAGTTCATTTCTACATTGTGAAAGTCTAGACATAATTCCTTTTGTAATTTTCTGCATGGACTTATATCTGTTGTATTCTTCATTTTTAGGATTATATGGTGCTGTTACCTAGTGATTACTATGAAGCATCCATCTTGCAGATAAAAGTTACAGAGCCTTGCACCTATTCAGGACGCGCCTCAACAGAGCAGTCAGTATATTAGCTACAGAATAAACCAGCCTTGAATGATTTTATTATTATCCTGCTGCACTTGAAAACAATAATAACCCTCTGTTTTATTTGTGGTTCTTTTTATGTGCAAGCTGCTTGCTCTATCAGCATTTGCCACTGGGCAGATTTTCCTGTGTCCTTGGTTCAGAGGCAGCGTATTTCAGCCATGGGGGAGGATACAGAAGAATACCTGTGCGACAGCCAACTCCTCATCAACCAGTGATGTCCCATATCAGTGGAAGAGAGGTCAGATTCCTGCCTTCTAATTGCAGTCCCATATGCACCATTGACTCTAAACCTACTGGGCTAAAACAGTTGCAGATTTATAGCTCAGGATCCCTAAAACAGACTCTGTGTTAATTTCTGCATTTTATACAGAACTCTGTAAATGGATCAGTGTAGGCAGATTTATAACTGTGACAAGAGTGGACATTTCAATCTGACAAAATATTTTATTATATAAAAATCTGTCTGCTTTAGACCTTCTGGCTTGTTCAGCATAGTGTTTAATTACAGCAGTAGCAGCACAATGTCTTGTTGGCAGAAATGGTGCACATAATATAATTCTAAATTAATCTCTTTTTTTGTTTCTCAAATAGCTATACTTACATAAAATATTTGCTTTACTAAAAAACAAGCAGAAGGAATTAGGCCACTGCCATAAGTCCATTGAAAGAGAAACATACTTTGTGAAATGAAAAATTGTACTTGAAGGGTATTTGGTAAAAATTAAGAATTTTATCAAGTACATGATAATTACATGTTAAGAGGATGATATCCTCTAGTTCTGTGCTTGGATATTGCTTTGAAAAATGCCAAGTGCAACAAGAATACTTACATGCCACAGGGCCCTGGTGCTTCATCACTGATGCATTTGCAAAACTTTACTGGTATGAATAATTGCAGTGAAGTCAAGAGGGCTGTTGACAGAATTATTTACGTGTTTAACTGCTTGTAGCCTCAGGAGATATTGAGAAAATCAGTTTGAATTTGAAAATTATATAACTAACAGTAGCAAAACCCTCTGTAACCACAGTACTGTCCATGCAACTACCTCAGAGTATTTTCCATCACTTAGTGTTTTAACCAATTTGTGCAAGTAAACTAGAAGAAAAACTTGATGCTTCAGAAAGTGGCATTGGCTCTTTGCTGGAGAAGATGCTTTCACTCTTTGCAGGGAATCAATATACAGCACTGCTGTGGTAGGACCTGTGTTCCTGGAAATTATTTTTTCAGTGGAGAAATAGAGTAAATTTTTATTTATTATTAAAGATAGCATAGAGATAATGGTGACAATTTTTGTATCATTAAAATTTCCTCACTGACACTTTCTACCAGGATAATAATGATAATATACTAATTTCACAGGCTTATCTTACAGCCTTACTAGAACTGTTATAACAGCAGCTGTTTATTGAACTTGGTTGACAAGTTGATATTTATAAGCATTGCTTCCATTCTGCTGAATGTCTTTTGCTGAGATGGTGCAGGACTGGCCCTTGACTAATGCAGACCAGTTGGCTTGCAGGGCAGGAAAGGGAGTTTCCTGCAAGAAAGGGAGTGAAAAATATAATGGCTTTTTTCTTTTTCAATGATCTTGACCTAGGTCAATTTGCAGATGACCATAAAAGTTCCTCAAGTTGGTCGCTATGTTCTGATTTTTGAATATGCCAATGAGGAGGATCGGTTACACACTGCTGAGGTAATAATACATAGCCCCGGACCTGTAACCGAAGGCAGAGTGAGAATATACAGTTGTAAATACAGGTAAGAATTTCTGACTTAAATACTAAATGATTAAATAAGCATTTGGGATAGAATTATACTTCTAATATGTTGGAATCCCTTTTACTATGTAGGTTGTTTGAATTTTAAGTTGATTTAAAGCAAATAAATGATTCTGTGGGTACTGTACAGATTTTTAATTCTGTCTGTGCAATCAGCTCATTAAATGTTGCTACTGCTTCAGTGAACTCTTTTCCTATACAAAGGGTTACTTTTTTATATGCATTCATAAATCCTTATAAACTATGAATCTCCGAGTCCAGTGGAAGAGCATCACTGTTGGCTGCAGATGCCTGCACTATTTTTATTTAGTGAAAAGCGTGTCCAAGGGCTTTAGCTATAAAAAATGTAGCAGCCAGTTTTACAAGAGTATTCCCACAGTTTTCTAACAAGATCTGCTGAAGCAGAAACACAAAGGTCTCTTGAAACTCTGATTGCAGCCACCCTCTATCAGCCAGGCTGTAGTAAACATCTTCAGCCAAATGCTTCTTTATCCTTGTTGACTGCTGAGGCTACTGCAGATGTTTCTGCGCTGGAGATTCTGTCTGTCCTGAGAGAGATTGTCTTTTAACACTTGAGCAGTTCTGTTTATGACTCAGATTAGGATTTTGATTCTGCAGATGTTTGCACCCTTGGGTGAGCCTACCCAGTGCCAGGGGACTACAGACCCTGGCATCCGTTTTTCCCATGAGCTGAGTGTGTGGCAGATTGGAGGCTTAGGGATATTCGAGATGAAATTGCCCAGTAGGAAAATGCATTTTCATCAGCATGTTTGTGATAACAGAGCAGAGCTAGATGGAGCAGTGACCGTGTCAGGTTGTTGCTGGGGAAAGCTCTTATTTTAGCCTGTTACCTAACACTTTAAGCCCTAAACTACTTGCTGTAAATCTTCCATTTTATTGCTATTTTTTTTCCCCAAACACATTTTATAGTCTAATTTTGAACATATTTGCTTGTTCATATAATATAATGAGAACTTGCTCATGAAAACACAAAGAAAGCCTTTGCTATTTTAAGGTAGCAATGCAGTAAATCCCTTTTGCGGCCATTCTGCATGAAGCTAACGGTCACATTGCAAGTAAGTTGCTGTGTCATCTTTCCCAAGCAGGAAGCTACAAGTCTCTTCTGTTAAAAAATAAATCAAGAAATGGCATAGTGACGTACATACAGATAAAAGTAACTCGTAGAACCGAGAATATATTGTGCCAGGTCTTCTTACAGCTCTATGAGCTTGATTATTCCTGATAAAACATTTGCAAGCTTCCAGTGAATCACAAATAAGGGACCTATATTTTTCCACTCTTAAATGTCCTTAGCCCTGAGCTGACCTTATTTCTGAGCTGTGCTCCAAACAAGAGTGAAACTTCTATATTCTGTGGTTTGCAGAGGAGAAGTAGAGAAGCAGTTGTGTGGTGGTTACAGCTTCTTACCCATGGCACCCTGGCTGGCCTCGCTGAGCTGAAGTGCAGGAGAAAGAAAAGAAATTAGAGCCTTAAATGACTTCTCTTTAGCAAAAGGGAACTGCTGCTCCTTTTGGCACATTGCAGGGGTCATGCTGCCTGAACAAGGCAGAGTTCAAAGGCTTTAGCAAGGCTGCTCTTCTTAGTGTGCATTTGTCTTTACCGAAGATGCGCAGCCAATCGAAGGTAGTCAGTAAGAGGCAAACCTACGTTTTTTCACCTGTTTTATGGAGTATCTCAGTGTACGGAATGACTTCCTAAAATCAAGACTTGCCCAGCTGCCACTGTGTGGGTGAGAGCTGCTGATCCACACCATCAACGGTGCGTGGCAGTGGTCAAGGGCAGCAGCTGGTGCATGCTGGCACCTCAAGGACCATGGCCCAGGCTTGGCATATTAGTTTCATGCCGTGTAACACAGCTTGAAAACCTCTGCAGAGAGCATGTATGTGTCTTTTCATGTCCTACTTAAAGCAGTAGCTCAAATGGAGATCTGAGCTGAGGTCTGGAGGTTTGGGCTCCGGGTAGGTCAACCCACAAAGGACGAGTGGCATTGTGTATTTGGTACATCCTTTGACTCGCTAGTGAGGACACTGCATGTTCACCCGTGGCCAAAAGTAGCTGTTACATATGATCCAGCAGGGCTAGGCAGCGGTGGTGAGGCTAGCCAAAAGCTAGGCAGCTGGGCTAGGCTGCAGCCTAAACAACATGGCAACTCCAGCAGGCTCCACTTTAATCCTGCTTTCTGTCTCAGTTTCCTTTGCCGCAGTGTCGTAGTCGATGACAGGAATCGTGTTGCAGCCTATGACCTTCTAGCAGACACAAAGATACACCTTAAAGCATCATCAATTAATTTTCTTCTGGTAAGCTTCCATTTTCTTTTTCCCTTTTGTATTACTTGTTTGCTGAGTGGATAAAGAGAGATAACTTGCTCCTCATGGTCACACACTGTTTGCTTATAATGTGAAAAGATGTGTATTAGATGCTTGAAATTTCTTTATATATACACAGAGAATACTGGAACAAACTTGCTCAATTCAAAGGTAAACAGCAGTTTGCCTTTCTTGGCAAGTTGTTTTTTCTAACTCTTTTGTACTTAATTTTAGTTCATCTCTCTTCTACATGTAAATTTTAAATGAAGAATCTGGTAGCTTTTATACTCCATCTTTTTTTTTTTTTTCTTTTTTAATTTTCCAACTCTTTTGTACTTTATTTTAGTTCATCTCTCTTCTACACATAAATTTTAAATGAAAAATCTGGTAGTTTTTATACTCCATCTTTTTTTTTTTCTTTTCTTTTCCTTATCTTTCAATCTTTTTTAATCCTTAAAACCCACATGAGATTTTCTGGGGTCTCTTACAAAATTCAAGTAATAACTGCATTCATTTCAGGTAATGAATGCATTAATTAGTGATACAACCTTTAAATACACTGACTAAAAAGCCTTCACTGCCCTCTTTTGGCCACCCTAGCAATACATTTTTCCGGACACAGTTTTATGTCGGTTTTGTTCTCTATTTTAGAAACATAAGTTGATTTACACAGTTTGTTAAAATCTAGAGTTGAAACTCAGCTGTAAAGAGAGTAGTTTCATGGAACTACTAGAATTAACAACTTAAAACCCACGTGAGATTTTCTGGGGTCTCTTACAAAATGCAAGTAATAACTGCATTCATTTCAGGTAATGAATGCATTAATTAGTGATATAACCTTTAAATACTTTGACTAAAAAGCCTTCACTGCCCTCTTTTGGCCACCCTAGCAATACATTTTTCCGGACACAGTTTTATGTCGGTTTTGTTCTCTATTTTAGAAACATAAGTTGATTTACACAGTTTGTTAAAATCTAGAGTTGAAACTCAGCTGTAAAGAGAGTAGTTTCATGGAACTACTAGAATTAACAACTGATATATGCTTTCTTCAGTTCATGAGGCAGTGTTCAGTGTGAACAAATACCTTTTAAATTGTCTGTTAACTCCCTACAGCAATTGCTGTACTAACAAGATCCATATCCAAAAGAAGTTGATATTATTAGTCTGTATCTCCACATGTGGAAGTCTGTTGTGCTAAGAATCTCTGTATTTTTATTTCTAAATTCTGGTTTTCTGAATAGCTTGCTGCAAGATAAATTTCAATATTATCCTGAGATACAGGAAATATTTCCCTGTGTTAAATGTAAAGACTGCACTTAGCAAAAGATAGGAAGAAAGGGAAAGAGTTTCTGGTATGTGGACACTAATGATGGAGTCAAGGGCAGCAGCGTTGGAGTTAAAGTCCCTTGTGTCATCCCCTGTCATGTAGACCAGACAGGCAAAGGGGAACACCCCCCAATGCTAGAGGTCATGAATCTGGTCTAAATAAAGGGGAGTTGGGGCTCTTGAGGTCAGCTTTCAAGAGGAGCTCTTATAACCTAATAGTCGTTATCTCACATGGATGGTGTCTAAACCCACGCCGTGTTTTGCACTAACTTTTTAGCTGCTCATAAAGTGCAGTTCAAAGCTTCAGAGTCTACCCTTGTTCTGCTGCAATGGGCTGGAGCCCTGTGGGTCATTACATGCAGGACAGGTACAACGTTTGCTGCCCAGGAAAAGAGACTTTTAGCACTCTGCCTTCTGGCTTATAATGGGTTTCTAGTCCCTGCTGACTACTGCTAAAACGCAAGCTGAGCTTATTAGGACCTGCTTCTAAACTGAATCACTTTGCACATTAATGAATTCTCCCTATGCAATTTGTAGTTATGTAAATACACAGTGCTAATTATCTTACTTTTTATCAGGCATTTTTATCTCCTTTTCAAGTAGTTCATGCACAAGTTTTGTAACCTGCACTTATGTAATTTGTAACTGCAGGTAACATATTCATTTACTGTAAACTGTTATGTCTACCCACAAGCCTTCCCTTGTGTCCTTACCACCATTGCTACAGCAGGACTGTGTCTACCCACAAGCCTTCCCCTGTGTCCTTACCACCATTGCTACAGCAGGACAACAGCAGCTTCATTTGCTTATGTCTAGTTTTAGTTAAAAAAAAACACAAAAAACATACAAGGTCTCGTTGGCTTTTAAAATGAGTTCTTAATCTATTGGGAGAAATCCTGATGTCACTGCAACTTACTCCTGTGGACTTTGTGCAAGCAAGTGTTCGTGCCTGCATTTCAGAATTCCCCCAGGGTCCAAAAGTCTCTAACACCACAGATGAGAGCTTGTCCCTCCCACCTCTCTACACTCCTTGCCTACCTTCTGACTCCACGAGCTGGTCTTCTGTCATTCCCATTGCCATACATTTACTTAGTTTTTAATTTATTTAACTTCTGAACAGCCAACATTCCCCTCAGAAGAACAGGAAAATGCTATTCAACACTGAGGCATTCAGGTGCAGGCAGGTAAAGGGATCCAAAATCTTGTGGGAAGTCCATGACAGAACATGGCTTTGGCCTTAGGTCTCCTTGTGCTAACATTAGACTTCACCCTTCCCATTCAGGCCTGCCCTGGTTATTTATTATATTAAATGTTAATTTTGCCCTGTGCTTATTTTTCAGCACAAGGTTTGTATTGTATCAGCTGAAGAATTTTCTCCAGAATATGTGGATCCTAAAGTACAGTGCATAGCTGCTTACAGGAGTACCCGTGATGGAAGGTAACTTTCTGTTTTGTCCTTCCTATTTTCAGAAGACAACCTTGAAACGCAGACTAAATGGAATCTTAATTCGTTTTGTCCTTCCTATTTTCAGAAGAAGACTTTGAAACGCAGACTAAATGGAATCTTAATTCTTTTGAGTAAACCTTTGCTCAGTGACTCACAGATGATTTGTAGGCCACTTTTGCAAAATAGTATTTGTAAGAAAGCTGAAGTGTTAGTGTTAATCTAGACAGTCTTTGTGCAGGATTTTATTAATACTAGCCTCTTCCTGATCTGTCTGAACTACTGAGTGCCAATGCACTAGAAAACTTGCATCATTCACACACCATCCAGTATGATAGGTGTCCAGCTGGAGAAATGTTGCTATGTTGGTGGCCTGAAATGCTCACTGCTCCATCTGGAGTTTCATTCTGCATATTACTGCTTCAGCTGCTCCAGAATGCTTTAATTTGTCATTCAGTAGGGGATGTGACTGCCTTTTCAGGTACAAATCCACCAGCTCAACTTGGCAGCATGAAACTATTCAACATGTAAACAAACCACAGCTTCACAAACGGGCCATTCCCTTGTCCATGTCATTATGGGGCCCATATGGTAGATGTGCCCTCAGCATTCACGCCACACAGCAATGCCAGGTGATCCTTCTCCTCCATTATAACCATATAGGACCAGTAATTAGAGCACTTGTATACAGCTTGGCTGACGCAGATTGATGGCATTTCTGTTGCTGCAAAGATCTGAACCTCAACTTCCACTTCCCAAGTGGTCAGTTTGGGGTTCTCCAGAGTACTTTCTCGGTCCTGTCGAAGGCCTTCCTCTCTCCATATGTTTTATTCTTTGGGCCAGAGAGGAACTGTTACTGCTTCCAAATTAGGGAGCCCCACAGTTTAGTTCCTGTTGCACTCCCCAGGATGTCCCTCGTGATACTACTCTTCAAGCTTGCTTTCTACTGATCTGGCAATGGGAAGGGCCTCAAAGTAAAAGTAAATGTCATTTGCAAGACTTCAGAGGCAGAAAGCATTGGTGATTAGGTTTACTAGTTTTCCAGATGGTAGCTTCTAATATAATGGTTGAATTGAAATAGCAAGCAGAAAAATCTGGATAGTAAATTGGATAAAAGCATGTGACTGTACTTGGCTTCCAAGGATGCTTAGCATTGAATCACAGCTTTAATTCTGCTGCTCAGAGTGTTAAAACTGAGAGTAGCTTTCTGAGACTGAAGGTACTTGTCCTCGCATCAAAGGTATTTTGCATTTTTGTGCACTTAGATATTCTAAGTAAAGTGGGGGAAGAGGCTGGGTGAAAAACATGATTTAAAATAAAGCTAGTGTAGAAACTTGTACCTTTCACTTTGATTTTGTGTTGTGGGTTTTTTTTAATCTCTTGTTATATTTGCATAGTTTACTGAGTATTTATGATTTTTTTTTAATTTCTTATATTTGCATAGTTTACTGAGTATTTATGTTCTGTTATTATGACTATTATCTGGCAGCATTTTTGCTTTCCTGAGAGTGTTTAGTGTTCACCAAGTTGAAAGGTGCAGAGTCTTGGCTCAGTTTAATGGTATTATGCAGGATGCTAAAGCATCAAAGGTATTTTGCATTTTTGTGCACTTAGATATTCTAAGTAAAGTGGGGGAAGAGGCTGGGTGAAATGTTCTGTTATTATGACCATTATCTGGCAGCATTTTTGCTTTCCTGAAAGTGTTTAGTGTTCACCAAGTTGAAAGGTGCAGAGTCTTGGCTCAGTTTAATGGTATTATGCAGGATGCTAAATGTGACTTCCCACACAGGCCTGGCAAATAGATCTCAATCCTGGCCCTGAAACACACTTGCCATTCCAGTTCTGGACCTGTCTTGAGCAAAGATTAATCATTGTCTGTTGAGTACTTAGGAGAAGTGAACAAATACTAGCAGGAAACCCCCCAAAACATTTTCTTCTGCAGTCTTGGAAAATACTTTTCTCAATCCAGTTCTTCAGAATTAAATATACCAAGGAAGAAATACTTAAACACATCAGTGAATGAATAAGGATGTTTTCAAGGAGCACCATTATTTATTTTGAATCCAATTCTACAAATATTTGAGTGTATATTTAACTTCTAAGTACTTAAGTAGTCCCATTGACTTCAATGGGAAAACTTGCATGTTTAAAGGATACACCTATATAAATATTTGTAGGACTGAGAATTCAATATTAGTACAGATTCTGCTGAATGTAACTAATTGGATTCACTAAAATGTATTTAACTGATTTTTTTTTTAACACTCTTGGTTCCCTTAGGTTTCATCTTCTTTAGTCATCTGTTGACACTCCTTAAGTTATTGAAATTTTGAGTGAATAAAATCAGTTATGTACATTTTCCCCCTTTGTGAGTTAAATCAGCGTGGGAAAACTTGCATAAATATTTGTAGGACTGAGAATTCAATATTAGTACAGATTCTGGTGAATGTAACTAATTGGATGGGAAAACTTGCATGTTTAAAGGATACACCTATATAAATATTTGTAGGACTGAGAATTCAATATTAGTACAGATTCTGCTGAATGTAACTAATTGGATTCACTAAAATGTATTTAACTGATTTTTTTTTTAACACTCTTGGTTCCCTTAGGTTTCATCTTCTTTAGTCATCTGTTGACACTCCTTAAGTTATTGAAATTTTGAGTGAATAAAATCAGTTATGTACATTTTCCCCCTTTGTGAGTTAAATCAGCACTTCTTGTTTTCATTTACTTTCTGTTCATTTACATAGAATCCAAAGAGTGGTTACTGTTGCATTATTAATTGTAGCACATTATAACACATGTCTGCTTTTTCTTTTTGATGCCCAAGGAAATTAGTACAGATTCTGGTGAATGTAACTAATTGGATTCACTAAAATGTATTTAACTGATTTTTTTTTTAACACTCTTGGTTCCCTTAGGTTTCATCTTCTTTAGTCATCTGTTGACACTCCTTAAGTTATTGAAATTTTGAGTGAATAAAATCAGTTATGTACATTTTCCCCCTTTGTGAGTTAAATCAGCACCTCTTGTTTTCATTTACTTTCTGTTCATTTACATAGAATCCAAAGAGTGGTTACTGTTGCATTATTAATTGTTGCACATTATAATACATTAACTTTTGTGAGTTGTCTGCTTTTTCTTTTTGATGCCCAAGGAATTCTCCTGGCCTCAAGAGTAATTAATATAATTCTGTGTTTAGTGCAACATGCATTCCCTCAGCGTATGAAACTCCACTGTCGGCTTTGGTTTTGGATGCACTCAAGGATGGGAAAATTTCTGAAGTTCAGAGAAACATACTCTATGATCCAATGAGTGCCCCTTTACCTTCTGACTCAGTTCGTGGAGTCACCCTGACATCATTACAGGTATGTCATATTTTGAAAATACTGTTTCCTTAGCCACAAAGTGTGTTCTTAGTGAGGTTACTGTTGCATTATTAATTGTTGCACATTATAATACATTAACTTTTGTGAGTTGTCTGCTTTTTCTTTTTGATGCCCAAGGAATTCTCCTGGCCTCAAGAGTAATTAATATAATTCTGTGTTTAGTGCAACATGCATTCCCTCAGCGTATGAAACTCCACTGTCGGCTTTGGTTTTGGATGCACTCAAGGATGGGAAAATTTCTGAAGTTCAGAGAAACATACTCTATGATCCAATGAGTGCCCCTTTACCTTCTGACTCAGTTCGTGGAGTCACCCTGACATCATTACAGGTATGTCATATTTTGAAAATACTGTTTCCTTAGCCACAAAGTGTGTTCTTAGTGAAGTTGAATAGATTAAGCATGTTAAGAGGATCAAAACTGAATGATGTGATATGATCAAAATGCTGCAGACTGAGTAAGCTACAAAGATAATACACAGAAAGAGAAACAAAAAAGCCAGCTTCTTTAGAAACTAGGTAGTAGTCTCACAGACTGCAGAAGAGCATTAGATATGCTTGGCATGCAAACAGCTAGGAGCATGCTGTTGTAATGCCCTACTCTTTGAAGAGATTGTTAAGTTCCTGAGAGATGCTAAGCCCTCTCTCTTTCATTGTGGGTAGGTGGCACAGAGCACAGATCTTAAACCCAAGAATACCTCAGGAAACAAATGTACTATCAGAGCTGTTCTTGTTTCTGCAGAACCAGATCACTTTAAGTGGCAGAGTGCCCCGCTTGGGCAGATACGTATTTGTGGTACATTTTTATCAGCCAGCACACCCAGTGTTCACCGTCCAAGTCCATGTGGATGCGGGACGGGTGTGGTCAGGTAAGCATCTGAATTTGATCTAACCCCTTTTCTTTCTCAGCGTTTTGGCACATGGAGCAGGTTTTGGCATTTTTTTCTTCTAGGTTCCTTCAATGCTTCATTCTGCCCTCATACCTCTGGCTGTCGGGATCAAGTGATTGCAGAAAATCAAATTGAGCTTGACATTTCTGAACCCGAGGTCTCTGTTACAGTGGTGATACCTGATGGAAGAATGTTGGTTCTGGTACGTTGATTACATAAACGTACTTGGAAATGTTATTCTCAGTTTCACCATTCATTTAGAGATAGATGCAAAGAGGAAAGCCAAAAAGAAAGAGTTTGTCTTTGAATTTTGTATTTCAAATTATTAACATTTTGTGCAGGATTTCTGTTTTATTTTAAATTTTTAAGATAGTAAACACTGTTTTTCCTGTACACTGCTTGTAGTATCATATCTCGGGGGGGAAGATAAAAAGTAAATTTTCTTTTTTTTTTTTCAGTTAAAATGTTACGGGTTTTGAGAAAATCCAGAATGCATAATGAAGCAACATTTAAATATATAAATGCCTTAGATTGTGTCTTTTGCTTTTCTCTGAAATGTACAATTTAGCTTTCTTGTTGTTTTAAGGAAAAAGTCTTAGTTGTTCCAGCAGACACCTACAGTTACAAAATTCTTGACAAAAAGACAGTGGACAAGTCATTTGATTTTATCAACCAATGTGGAGGAAACAGTTTTTATATTGAGTAAGCATCACTTTCTAAAAAACTGAACATTGACAACAAGCTGGGAATTGATGTTACTTTTACTCTGTATTAAAGATATATGTATAAAATCCCCATCATTGTGCTACATTAAAATGCTTTTCATGGCTTATGCTGGCCCATTAAATTTCCATGAGTCATTTTCCCATGACTTTCTGTTGTAAATGAAATGTAAAGGTAGAGCTACACTGCTCACAGTACAAAAGAGGAAAATCTACATCATCTTTTTGTCTTCAGTATTTCCATCTTTGGTATTTGGTATTTTGCTTGGCATGTCTGAACTGATAATGTCTAATATACTCACCTTCTTTGAAAAAAATCTCTTACCTGCATGTTCAAAGCCGTTCACCACTAATTTAATTAAAGTGTATCCTTGAATGTGTGCTGACGTCATCCTTATGCCAAAGAGCTGTTTGAAAGACAGAACCCTGACTGACTGAAGCAAAAAGGGTGCTTGTAGCAATTCCCAAGTGCCGGTACTTACACGACTTCTATTTCAATTTAAATAGCCCAGAAGGATCGTCGGCCTTCTGTAAGGACTCCGTAAGGTCACTAGTGGCTTTCTACAACAACGGAGCCCTGCCTTGTAATTGCCATAGCGCGGGTGCCACGAGCCCTACCTGCAGCCCCCTGGGAGGACAGTGTGTTTGCAGGCCTCACGTCATCGGTCGTCGGTGCAGCCGGTGCCAAACTGGCTACTATGGATTCCCATTCTGCAAGTGTAAGTACATGCTGGGACTTACTCGGCACCTGACCCCACCTTTTGTTTAATTCTCTGATTGTACTGCATAGGTACCGCAGCCTCGCTTTTCTTTGTAGAGCTTGATCCTATGAGAGGCTGGTTGAGCCATCTGAGATTTGGTTTGAGGCAGAAATAACTCCCTTCTCTCATAGCACACCTAGTTCACAGTGAAGTGTGCCTCCGCATGTGTTGTCTGTATTAGGATTACAGTTAAACTTGTTAAATTCCATATTTTGGATTTTGCTGCAAATTGTTTCCAAGTTATTACTGTTGTATCCCAGTTTATACCTTCAAAATTTTCCATAGGTAATCAGAGACATAGCATTCTTAATTCCTCGTATACTGATCTTATTCTTAGTAACAACAGATTTATAGATTACACCAAAACAGTCCTCAGCTGCCTTCCCAGATATTATACTCAGTTTTTACAATCGTTGCTTTGTAAAAGTGGTGGCCTTAACACCAAAAATATTCATCGTTTAATCCTGGGTAATTTGGGGAAGTGATTAATAATGCCTGTGGTGAAATTAAGCAACGAAACTGTGGCAAAGAGCCAGGCACTAAAGACACTCTTCAAAACTACCGTTACAGTCACCTGCTTGGTTTCCATGACCCTGAGCTTAAAACTAGGGAAAGAGAAAAGAATCATGTCCTGTGTACAAAATGCTTGTGCCTGTTTGTTCCATATGCTAGTTCAATAAGAGTTGATTGTGGTAAGTTGAGATGTGATTTATTTGTAGAACATTTTCTTTGACCTAGTATGCAACTGTGGGCAGCGGCTTTGTGACGACGTGACTGGTAAATGCATTTGCCCTCCACGAACTCTGAAACCCAAGTGTGAAGTGTGCGAGAAACATTACTTCAGCTATCACCCTCTTGCTGGCTGCGAGAGCTGCAACTGTTCAGAAAGAGGAGTTGTTAATGTGGCAAGCCCAGAATGTGAAAAAACCAACGGGCAATGCAAGTAAGTTTGGGTTACGGGCGCTATAAACAGTGCACGAGTGGTTTGCTTCACCGTTGTTTTCAGGAATTTGGAGGGGACATGAGAAAATTTGATGATGATGATGAATAGGGATTCAAGCAGCGCTTGGCCGTGGTGAGGACTCAGCTGTTTCAGGGACACCTGCAACGTTTTAGTGCAAGTAACTAATGATGGAATTTAGGATTCCTGGGCTTGCATTCAGTTCGCCAGGGGTAAGACACCAAATCTCTGTCCAGCTCGTATGTCTCATCCAATGTCAGTTGGTGGCCCACCTCAGATTGGAGTTCCTGACTTCTGAACACATACATCATTTATAATGGTGTACATTATTTCCCAAATTTGTAAAACTTTGCAGTTGACTTTTCACAGTCTGATGTCTGGATTTAAGTCAAATGATGTTTTCAAGTTCTGTAAGACTTGAATGGATGCAATGAATTTTGAGGAAGTTTGATGGTGGGTACTGCATATATGGAAAATATGGTTCAATTGGAGTCATAGGTGATAATTGCCCTTAAAATTATGCCTTCTCTATGACATATGCTTATTTTTCTGTAACTCAACATACTGATATGAGAATAAATTCTTTAGTTTTATCTCTTATTTACAGCCACAACCATAGGGAATGATCTTAAATTCAGATGCTGTCATATTAGTATAGTTGAACATTTCTATTATTTCCTTGGAGAGACCAAGTCCTTAAATAGCAAGTTCAAATACTTGATAGCCAGTACGTTGTGTAAGGCCAGGATTAGTTCTGTTTGATTGGGCTGGCTATTTTACTGTCCTAAGAAAGATAAATTTGTTCTTTCTGCTCTGCCATTAAGCCTGTAAATATGATAAACACTAATTTTCAGAGAATGCTCATGTTATTTCCCAAATTTAAATTATTTTCCTAAGTCTGTCCTTTTCATATGAAGTGAATAATTGTCTTCTCCCAAGAGCAAAACAAGAATCTGTTTTCATATTTAGAAGTTGGGGTTCAAGATTAAAATGTAGCATATTCTGTCACTCTTGATCTGATTAGTCTCTGCTTTCATTTTCCCCATACAGTACAAAATAAAATCAAAATAAATACTGTGCAAAAATAAATAAAATTAATAATTAAATCAAATAAAATCTAATGCTTCAAAGAAAGGGCTTAGCATGTCCCTACTCGAGCAAAATCGAGGATAATTTTAGCAGAAATAATCACATTTTTCCATTTCAGTGAAAAGCTTGTAGTGCCTGATTATATTGGTGGTATTTTTCATGTGAAACCTAATTCAAAATATCAAGGAAATGAAATCTTATTCGTCAAAAATTATGAAGCAAAATTTGACATTTAGCAAATACTATTGGATTGACTGCTAAGGTACATAGCTAACTACTACATATTGATTAATACTTTTCCTTCTGCTGATTCCATCAAGTTCAAAGTCCCCATCCAGCTCCAGCCTACTCGAGCAAAATCGAGGATAATTTTAGCAGAAATAATCACATTTTTCCATTTCAGTGAAAAGCTTGTAGTGCCTGATTATATTGGTGGTATTTTTCATGTGAAACCTAATTCAAAATATCAAGGAAATGAAATCTTATTCGTCAAAAATTATGAAGCAAAATTTGACATTTAGCAAATACTATTGGATTGACTGCTAAGGTACATAGCTAACTACTACATATTGATTAATACTTTTCCTTCTGCTGATTCCATCAAGTTCAAAGTCCCCATCCAGCTCCAGTTATCTGTATGTGCGGGTAATACGTTTAGAGAGACTCTGAGAGACCTCGCCCATTG